CCCCTATACACAGATCTATCAATGTTTTTTTTACGGCTGGAGAGAGTTGTGATTTTTGTCAAAAAAAAAAATCCGAGTCGGAGTAAAAGTAAAAGGCTGACAAACACGTAGAACTTGGGGACCATGCAGGGGGTCCGCCTCACACTTTTTTTCTGAGTAAAGTATTTTACTTCAGTAAATTTTCATTTAGAAACTGGTTGTACCCCCACCCCACGCCTCAATTTTTGTTCCTTTAAAGTCAAGAATTTGGACAGTTAAGGACTTTTATTGCTTGTCAGACTTTTTTGAAACCCTTGCTACGGGCCTGTCTGAATATTTCTCTCACCTTTGGAAATTTACTTGTATGTGCGTGAATTAAAAAAAAATGACCACCAAACTGAATTTTTTTGGCAAAATTCAACTACTTATAACATATTTTTCACTTATATCATCATATTGCAAATGCATAAGAAAAATACTAGATTTTGAAGTGACCCTATGTTACATTATTGTGTTGCACTCCTGACATCTGATATGTATTTTATTTAACGTTGTTTTAAAAATTATAACACACAATAACCCATTTTTACTTTGTAAATCAATTTGTCGTATTGATATTTTTCATCGTTTACAGCAGATTTTTCATATTTTGAAGACCTTAAAACATGATTATTTGCAAAGTGTAATATATATAAATTGTATTTAAAATATATGTGAAATGATGAAAACTATTCCCTGAATTGACTGTAAAATTTCTGTAATTTGTTGATAGACATAGTGTTTTGAACATCAAATAGTATCAAGCATTTTTTTTCAACTTAATTTTTAGTAAAGATAGTTAAAAAGCATCGGTAATTATGAAGCAGTTTTGTTGCACTCCTGACTGCAGTAAAGTTTAAAATTAAAACCATAGAACACAAAAATTCATAAAGTGTTGGCAACATCAAGTGGTAATGAAATTGTGCAATACTTATAGTCCAATACTTCATAATTAAAACAGATGAAAGTATTTAAAATTGGCATTTTATCTGGAATTATACCCTTATACCCTATTTTATGCCAAAAAACTAGCTTAAATGTATATTTAGAAGATAAAATATATCTTAAAGCATATTTTCCTTTAGAAGACAAACACAGTAACCCACCAGAAAAATTCTACTCATCATTTTTTCTTTATTTTTATTCTTATTGGATGATTTATAATTCTAACATATTTGTTGCACTCCTGACCAAAAGCATTTGGGCCTTTAAAGTAGAATTGTGAAGTGAAAATTTCATAAGAACTTGTTCTGTTGTTTCAGTGAAGTTGAGGAGGAATTACTCGAATTCTATGACAATGTTTTAGTGTGTTTATTTTTAACGTTCATTAAAAAAATCACAAAAAAGATAAAAACACATCTGAATTGATAAAATTGAAAAAGGAAGGATTTTAATAATAAAACTGTCAATAATTTAGCATTAAATTATACAAAAAGATCATTATTAATTAATGAATACTTATAAGCATGAATAGAAGTCTTTTCATCACACACAACTTGAATCTTTAAAAAAAATGTGTTGCACTCCTGACCATAGAAATATGGATCTGAAGCACAGACAGATCCTGTAATTGAAAAATCTATTTGGTAAAAATGTTCTTTGTGTCCTTATTTTCCAAAATAAAAATCAGAAAATCATATAATGATAATAGTTTTTTCATGCTTGGGAGCAAAACATCAAATGTTGCACTCCTGACATTTTTGGGTATGCACATATACTTGACTCTCATTAATGCTGCTTGTGATTTATATAACATTTTTAAGTTTTAAAATGTATATCAGCCATTATTTTACACTTCCAAAATTCTTTTTCGTCTTAATTTTCTATCAGAATTTTACAATTAATGTTTTTTTTGGCAACATTACATTTTTTCTGCTGCACTCCTGACATGGTATAACATTTTTTTAAAAATCAGCCATGACCACAACCTGATTAAACAAAAGTTATGACAGTCCACATTTAAAGCTCAATACTTTAAATATTATCAGGAAATTAAAGTCTTTATTTTTAACATGAAGCATTATTTTTTATTTCACAGATCTCCAAAAAATATTGAAATTTCAAAATGTCACAAAAAGGTATTGCACTCCTGACAATTTTAGCATCATTTTTGGGCATAACTTTTTTGTTAATTGAGATATCAACGAGATATTTGGCAGGTATTTAGACACTATCTACAGACATATGCTGAGACATAGAAATCTATTTTCACTGCCTGTATTTTTAGTGTGGGTTGATAAATATGCGTTTGGTCATTTTTTTTTAATTCACCCATGTCCTCCTCCGCGCCTTAAACAGAATTCCAGGTTCACTATTGGCATTTTAAACATATTCCCCGGCCCCCAAGAAAAATAAATCAAACAAGCATATATACTTCATGCATTCTTATTTTTTGACCATTGTTACATGTAATATACAAACATAATATCCATATACGATTTATGTCATGGACTTGTTACTTCCAGGGTATGACCAGGTGGTGGTGGTGGTGGGGGGGGGGGGGCTCACTTTTGATACAGGTAACAGACTGTAATATCAAAGAAAAAAATCAGTGATTATATTCTCAGTGTATAATATGTTAATTTTCAAATCGGGATCGAGATCCCTCAGATTCAGATTCGTTTCATATTCATTACAGATTCGGATTCGTTTCATATTCAGAAACATCTCCAACAGCAAATTTTTAACCTCAGAGCATCTTATAAGCAAATAAAACATTTCTTTTCATTTTCTATGAAAAATAGGGGAAAGAATCTTATTAAATAATTAAGAGTTATTATTGACCTTTTAATGTTGAAACTACTACTTATCAGGGGTGTCTTAAAGGTCTATGAAATAAAATTTTGGTTTGGCATTCCTCCTTAAACATACAAATCTGTAAGCAGGGCACGAAACACGGGCCCCTGGAAATTCATATGCATAATCAATATTTTTTGCCATTCATATTTTCTTTCAGTTTAAGCAATATGGACCCACTATATTTCCTCATCTGAAAAGATCTCATATTTTGTCAAATCATTATAAACAAGTAAAGTCGTTTATAAAAATGAACATTTTTAAGGGACTACAATGTACACTGTATCGTTTTCTGCGGTCGTGGGGTGAGGGTAGTGTAATGTTATTTTAGAGAAGACTCGCTACCCTCACTGTTTTGGATACAATTGTAAAATTTTGCCCTCCTGGAATTTCCAGAATTATTAATCTATATAACCAATGCCTTGCACTTCAAACCCCCCTCCCCCCAAAGAAAAAATACGGACTCCAGAAAACTGTCCAACACGCCAATACGAGTACAATGCTATGATACAATACACATGTTTTATTGCCAAGCTGTGGGCTCCTTGGGGCATAGTGCACAGTATATAAATGATTCGAAGAAAAGCAACTTGTCTTAATACCCCCACCCAAACACCACCAAATAGGCTAGGTGATTCGGAGATTCAAACAAGTTGTTTACCTTTTTTAAGTTATCATTATTTATACTTTCTTTATTTTTAATTTGATCTATGCATATCTAAGTTATTAAAACTATGATAATGCATTAAATTCATATTTATTATTGTTCAGCTTCGAACATAATTCTCAACAGCCAGTTTAATTATGTTATGATATTTTAATAATAATTTTTTTTTTTTTTTTTTTTTTTTTGGCATTCCGGAAAATTTTGAAAATTAAGCATTGATTAAAAGAAAAATCTCACCTACCTACAGACTCAATTTTCTCATCCTGACTCGGGAGATAGCAAGCAAACATTATTTTAAAGTTGGCTCTAGCATATTCTAATTAAGGTTACATGATTTACTCAACCTTAAAATTTCATTGATTTGGGAAAAAATGTAAAAAATAAAATAAAATAAAATTTAAAAGAATATAAATTTAAAAATCTTTTAATCTTTTAAAGGATAACTTCTTTAACAATTTTCCCATTCATACTTGAATATTTTTCATTTATTATCTCGTTATTATGACTTATTATACGACCTACTATTATGTCGTACGACATATTTTCTCTTTATTGCGACTTATTATCTCGTAATTACGACCGTGTACGACTTGGTTGTAACTGTTTATATAGAATCTATTTCATCCGTATGGTTACCGATAATAGCTTTGCTCCAGGTTTACTGATGCCCCTGGAATTATTTATCTGACCATGTGCTGTTTAATTAGTTGCGTCACAACACACTAGTCATTAGACACTATTTCTAAAATCATATTGATAATCTCAGAAAGGAGCTAAATAGGATATTCGTCTGGCTGGTCACTTTTCAACATTAAATAAAATCAGTCGGACGTTAGCTTTTTTTAATAACGTAGATGAATATACCTTCATTTTTCAACTACAGTAATTTAAGGTAACTGTTATTGATTCCAGTTGTTGAATTTTGAATATTCTGAATGTAATATTCAAAGCTTTTCACTTTTATTTGTTAATTTTTTTTTGGTCATTGGATATACCGTATGTATATATCTAAGTTAGTTATAGGTGTATTGTTTGTAAATAAAGTAAAGTAAATAAATAAATAAATAATTTTTTCACCTGGAAGGTTTTGTGCAGGTGAACATAACTTAGTATGGTTTTCAGAAGGTTGAATAGCCGATCAGGGACCCAGGAATAATCCAATACTATAATTAACGATGATATTGAAACTGAAGATATCTAAGTAAAAATATAATCATTCTGTTCTTTCAAAATTTCATTTTTATATAGCGAAATATAGAAAAGATTTCCCCCTTCATGTATTAAAAAAATTTATATAATGGCATGTTTCAAATTTGTCATTACCTTCATTTTCCCCTCAGTCAACCCTGGTTTTAAATCACGAATTTCATGGAGCAGTGTTCTTGCAATAATATGTTGGTTATGCCCTACTATTGCATGAACAATATTAAAGTTTACACATCATTTACATTTACAAATAATGTTTTTCGGACCATTCGATCGGCAAATTCCGCCGATTCGGGGATGACCGAAAGCTACAATGGCGATCGACTCTGTTGCTAACGGATGTACATGTACGCATTCTATATTTAAATATGATCGGGTGTTTCCCAGTAATATCTATTTTTGATTCCTGTAGATTTTAGTCAACTGACTCTCTTAGGATCGAGTCCATTTGTGGACAAATAAATGTTACTTTCCAGACAACCTTAAAGGAGCCGGGAATTATACATGCAGGCCCGAAAAGTCTATTTTTAAAGAGATAGAAGGTAAAGTATATTTGTAAACATATACCAGTCTGGTCGAACCCCCGAACGGGGGTAAACGGAAATAGGAAATCCATACCCCCAAACGGGGGTACGAGCATGCGCAGATGCTTAAAAATGTGCGTATTTCACGCAAAAAGTAGAGATTTACAAAAATAGCCGGTGCAAAGTAACGGGTCATTTGGCAAATGTAAAACCACTCAGAAATGATAGATTAAAGGTTTTTTAAGAGTTTGTATATTACAAAAATACAACTTTATTGTACAAATCGGGATTTATTCACTGGAAAAGTTGGCTATCTTTTGTTCTGTGACATCCAGGTAATTAAGATAAAATATTCGATAAACAGACATAAACCACTTATATTAAATTGAAATTATAAAAGAAATATATTATTTTACCTTATATCTTTTATTTTTGTTATAAAATGCACGAAAATGTGGTATTAATAATCGATTTATTTATGATCGTAAGTTTCAGTCCGCGTTTCTTCTGACTAGCAATCGACGGTCTTTACTATCGATAATCATGCCCAAGAAGTATAACAGAAATACAGTTAAAAATAAAATTCAATTGCAATTTATCGTATTTGTTGTCTTTTATGTCTTATAAGAATTTAAATAAAATGTTTGGTAATTTAATTGTTTTTTAAATAACTACGATTGTTTGGGGGAAAACACGATTATATTTATTTTTTTTTTAAATCTACATTCTAAATTAATATTTCTCTCATTCTTAGAATATTTTTTCTTGTGTTTCAAATTCCATAATTTAAAAAAAAAAATCGTAATTGAGACGTCACACAAATTAATAAATTATTTCATGAAATGACGGGAAATTTTCGTTTTTCCTACAGTATAAATTCAAAATATGGAAAACTTAACCTGTTGATTTTTTTCTATTGATATTTTACCAAATTCATAGAAGAAATAACAATATTATCGATCTTTTTTCCAAAGATAGATGATATAGGCAAGTTTGTTTATATTGGATACGGCAAGAGTTACCGTTCTTGTGCCTTGCATGACGGGACGGAAAACCCTCGTTTGAGGGTATACCCCCGTTTAAGGGTTCGACCAGACTGTATACGGCCGGGTGTTTACAGGTAAATTTAGGTCAAGCGTAGGAAGGGATGAAAATTTATACCTAACGTCGTTATTCAGTAGAATTTATATGTATACTGTATATTCACAAAATATTTTAGCTAGTAATTTATCCCTAATTCCTATCAAGTTGTGTTATGAATAATTAAACCCTACTGAACAATATGCACACCCATATATCATTGATACCTGATCAAAATGCAAAGAACAACTCAGTGGCGGATCCAGAAATCTTGAAAAAAGGGAACCCGACCAGTTTGGGGTCGGGGTAGGGGCCCACGGCCTTACCAAAAAAAAAAATTGATTCGTTAAATGTAATGTATATTTTGGACACAAAAGGGGGGGGGGGGCTAGACCCTACTCTTAATTTTCATTGTCACAGTGATTGTATCGACAGGACTCACCAGAGGGCGTTTTATGGTACGCTACAACACTTATAAGTGAAGCGTAGAGGGAACGATAACTCTGGGTTGAGATTGATCCGGATTTGTAATCTTTGCCGTTTTCTATTTAGCTCTCTTGTGTTGAACACCAATTACATCAGTTTAAAAAAAAATATACATGTACATGTACGTGGTTATAGTCAAGCAGCATTTATCAATATTGTACGAGTGCGTTCTGTATTCGGCAGACTAAGTAATTTTTTTAAAAAAAAATACACACTTCCCTGTACCATGAAGGCTACAAGTGTATAGCTAAAGTGAATTAGATAAAATGAATTAAATAATTATGTATATACATGTATATTACATTTACACGTACATGTATATGCTTCTCTGGTGATTCTTTCATTTGAACAGTGTGCAACACCATCAATTACTTTCTTGATTTTTTTTTTTTAACACCTTATTGATATATAAAATAACTACATAACACAATTATATGATGATTTTAGAGTCGAAGTCTTAGCCTGGACTCGTTTCGTTATGTACACCATCGCTAGAAGATCGAAAAGATGTGGACTACTATCGTTGTCTCAGAATCGGACGGGTAGGGAAAATAAAATGTTGTCCATCAGGCTACGATAATTGATTTATTTGAAATTCTAATTCAAATATCAGGAACAAATATTTAAGTAAACGTTCTTTTTAAAAATAAAAAGTCTTCTTTTTCTTCTTAAAAAAAACTTTGAGTAAAATTTAAACATTTAATCGCAGTTTCACTGAAGAAAATCAACATCCAGATTTCAATTCATGGATTCATAGCTAACGTGACCTCTGAACTTCATTACATTAACGACTCAGACGAGAACATCGAGACAGAGTTTGTATTTCCATTGGACACCGAGGCAGCGGTCTACAAGTTTGAAGCCGAGATAGACGGCAGGACAATTGTAGCAGAGGTTCAGGAAAAATCACAGGTACTTTCGGTGTAAAATATAAACAAAATTCTTATTTTCAATGTATATTAAATTTGGTATACTATTCGATCACTCACCTAATACAAACTTACCACTGAAACAAAATGCAATTGAATCCGAAAATATGGTGGCTGAAGCTTAGTTCAAAATGCACTGTATGTAAGATTTATTGTGCTTTACGCATTGCAGATTGCCATCTTTTCCGTTGATTTAATTCTTTAAAATATAGGGATTGCAAAGAATTGAAATTTATACTGTTGTATTAGGCGAAATCGACCTTCCGAGATGCAATCGATTCGGGTCACATGGCTATGTACATGGGAGAAGATGACAGAGCTGGTGATATATTTCGTCTCAAACTCGGTAACCTCCCTGCCAAGACGTCTGCCAAGCTCACATTTGCGTATGCACAAGAGATTGAAATAACGGCTGATAAAACAGGAACATTTATGCTTCCAACAGTTCTGAATCCAAGATATGCCCCCGACTGTGGTAAGTTATCAATTATACGTTCGCTTTGATTTACTCAAATTAATCCTGTAAAATTACTATTGGGAGGGGGGGGGGAGGAGGAGGGTTACGTTACAAGCATATTTCAGAAAAAAATTCATTAAATGATTACATTCTTTATGGGTTCTTCAAGCATCAGCGGATGAGTCAAAATTAAAACCAAACATGGCAAAGAACACGCTCTATGTTCAAGAGATGGACCAGTTCTATTATCCTGACTTTGTTATGAACCTGGAAGCTGTAATTATTGGTGGTAAAAAGCTTATGGTATCCGGAAACAAAATGGAATTTGACGTCTTCGCTGATAAAATGAAAAACAAAGTACTTAATTCTTTTTTTTTGGTTGTTGTTAATTTTGATTTCTGTTTCAAAAATTGACAAAAAAACAAAGTAACAATCAATGCTATATATCAGTCAAAAAGCAATTGCTATGAACTTAGTTAAATTGCAGATACTATTCAAAGTTAAAGAATTAAAGACACATAAGGACAGTCTGTAACTCGCATGAAAAGATGCTTACATGTATATGTTTCAGTATTAAATTTCAATTTACAGGAAGTTTTATCTACACGACTTGCAGGAGGATCGGATTTTTCCATTGTGTTGAACTACAGAGGCTTTGAGAAGCCAGAAGCTGTGCTTGAGATAGGCAAAAAAGACACTGAAAGTAAGAAACATATTTTGATTCATTAATTAAGCATTCCTTTTTCATAAAAACAAGTATTTAATCAATACTGGTATCCAAATCTCTTAAAGAATATTTCACCTTGGTTTATTTACAGACGTGTTTTTGTCGTCCGACATTCTGATGGTAAATTTTTCTCCAGAATTCAAGGAACTGGACACAAACATACCTTGTGAATTTGTGTTTATAATTGACCGTTCTGGTAAGAAAAGATACATGAATCTTGTACCTCAAATGTACACAAAACAATATGTATCTGATGTTAAATTACAATGAGAACAAATAAGTTATATTTGCAAAAAAAATTTCGTAGAAATCAATTTGTTGTATAAAAACTACATAAAGATTGTTTTACTATCAAACAGGCTCAATGATGGGCTCTCGTATTGAGAAAGCTAAAGAAGCCCTTCTACTGATGCTGAAGAGTCTTCCTGTAAACTGTATCTTCAATGTTGTCAGCTTTGGATCAAGTTATTCAAAATTATTTACAAGGTGAGCTTTAGTCAATTTCAAACTACAAAATACGGCATACTCACGGCCAGGAACACGTTAAGTTCCTAGACAGTACCGTTGTCAGAAGCCTTTAAAGTTAAGCACTAAAACTGGTTCGTTGTCATGAACATACAGGTGAGGTTATGATAAAATCTGTCCGGTGTCATGACTTGAGAAGACAGACTTTGAGAAGTTTTTCATTTTTCAAGTTAAATTATCTATAACAATGTCTGAAATTGCAATGGGAAACAGGGCTGACACCCTATTTCGTGCTGTATGAATTTCAGCCGTTAAAAACAAGTAATAAAAGAAGAGTTTGCGTTGGCGACATTAACTCTGTTGAAATCGCTTATGGATTTGATTCGTTTTCCTACTGAGATGTTATATTTTTCGTAAACAGAATATAATATACACACCAACTGGTGCAGACAGTATCAAGACGTGTCGTAAGCCTTTACAGAAAAATTGAGAACAAATTAAAACTGAAAATTTTGATTTATTTCAATTTTTGTCCGTTGTCATGACAAGATACGAAAATTCAGTCCGTTGTCATCGGTCCGTTGTCGCTACTTTATTGTACATGTATACACTACGATCTTATGTTGTTTTAGGTATAGTTAAGCATGCCATCAAAAAGAGAGGTGTGTCGGTAAATATTGTCGTTTTGTATATATTGTCGTCGGCGACAAAATGTACCTACCCTGACTGCACATATCGTCGTCCATCGATACATATTGTCGCCGGCGACAATTTGTACCGAGACGAGCCTTTTTTTCCTCCTGCGTTATGGAAGACAAAATGTACAGTCAAGCATCGGCACGTTTTGTCGTCGGCGACAATAAGTACTGTGACCATTGGCACATTTCGTCGCCGATATATTGTGATGAATATTTACTAAGGTCGTGAAGAGAGAGAGATTGACACACATACATAGAGAAAGAGAGAGAGAAAGCTAGACAGACAGAAGGATAGACAAAGTGTTTGGCTGATAAATAAGTAAACAAGTTGTATTTATTTAGCATTACTCGCAATACTGTAGGGAGAAACGGTGTTGCTCAGAAAATTGTGTCCAGCATTGTTAAACATTTAAACATTTACAGTTTATTCTTTTTTACTCGTTATATATACATGGATATGAGATTGAAAGTTATTTGTTCAGGAGAAATGTTACCTGGAATTCATTTTTTTGCTTAATTCTCATACGAGTGCCGATATAATTGGTGTAGGGGTTGACATTTTTAGCTCACCTGAACTGATAGCTCTAGTGAGCTTTTCTGATCACATTTCTTGTGTCGTCCGTCTGTCTGTCAGTAAACTTTTCACATTCTCAGCTTCTTTTCAGGAACTACTGGCCAATTTCAATTTCAACCAAACTTAACAGAAAGCAAACGTGGATAAAGGGAGTCAAGTTTGTTCAAATTAATGGTCATGACCTCTTTCAAGAAAGTACATGTATAGTTAAGAATTAGTGAAAATTTAGTAACATCTTTAAATAATTTTCTCAAGAACCATTGTGTCAAAAAAGTTGAAACTTACGTAAAAGCTTTATTATAAAGTGTAGATTCATTTTTATTCAGATCATGTCTGGGAAAGGGTGAGGCTACAATAGATGATCAAAGTTTTAATAAAATATTTAAGAATAATTCTTTCAAAATTTTCTTCTAAAGAACTTCTGGATCAGAAGATATGATATTTATGTGAAAGTACATACATGAAGTGTACTTTTAATTTTTTTTAGATTTTGACACGAAAAAGATCCTACACTTTTCAATGGCCCTGAGTTACGAGAATAGGTCTAAATTTTTGGCCCTCCACCGGCAAGTGAGATAATAAAACAACAAACAAACAAAAACAAAATCAATTTTGTTCAAATCATGACCCCCAAAGGTAGGGTGGGACCACAATTGGTGATAAAAGTTTTCCGTTGGAATATACGGTATACAAAAACTATAAATCTTCTCAAGAACCAAAGGCGGATCTAGCACTGGCGCACCCCACCCCCTCCCCCATCCCTATCCCACCCTTCCCCCTCAGTTTGATTTTTTTTTCATTTTCTTTGCTTTTGTAAATTCTGTTGTTTTAACCTGTATATACTCTCAATTTTTTCCACAGGTAAAATTTCATGATTAAATGATATACTTAACTTATATATACAGTAACACTCCTTCACACACAAACGATTTTTTTTTTTTTTTTTTTTTTTTGGCTTTTCAAAAAAAAAATCTGAACCGCACCCCCCCTTTCCCCGTTCTGAAATTTTTGGATCAAATATTGAGAACAGCAGTATGCCGGTGATTAGCGATGTTTATATGGAAGCAACCTCAAGTAGTGTAGATTCAAGTTTCTTTTAATCATGACCCTCGGGATAGGTTGGGGCCACAAAGGGCGATCAAAGTTTTACACAGGAATATATAGGAAAATTCTTTAAACTTTTTCTTCTCAACAACAGCAAAGCAATGATTAGTCATATCTATATGGAAACGTTGCCAGGCATTGTCATGCGACATGTACTAATGGACTACAATATGCTCAGTGAGTGTAGGTACACGTTGTCGCCGGCGACAATATTAACAGGACGACAAAATGTACCGTCACAATCACGCTGCATGAATAGCATACGAGATACGTCAATGTGATTTACACAACAATCACATTTACAAATCCACCAAAAACAAGAGGCCCATGGGCCACATCGCTCACCTGAGCACTTTGGTTCGGAAATGGCAGGAATCAGTTCGGTATTCAACAGTTCAAATATTAAAGGGGGGGGGGGTATGTTTGCATGAAAACTTGAATCTACACCACCTAAAGATGCTTTTGAACTAATATGACTAATACCTTTGTTTTCTAAAGAAGAAATTTTTATTGATATATCCTTTATAACCCTTTGTTTAACTATGATCCCCTGTTTGGCCCCTCTGTGGGATCATGATTTGAACAAATTTGAATCTACATTACTTGAGGATGCTTTTATTTTATGATGACCAATCACGTTTTTGCTGTTCTTGAGAATAAGATTTTTAATGATTTCCCCTATGTATTCCTATGTTAAACTTTGATTTGAATAAACTTGAATCTACACTACCTGAGGATGCTTCCATATAGATATGACCAATTATGGCTTTGCTGTTCTTGAGAAGAAGATTTTTATAGATTTTTCCTATATTATCCTATGTAAAATTTTGATAGCCCACTGTGGCCCCATCCTACCCCCGGAGTCATGATTTGAACAAACTTGAATCTACATTACCTGAGGATGCTTCCACATAAGTTTCACATTATCGGCTGTTGTCTTGCCCGATTTTTATTTTTCGTCGGTCGACCAATTTTATGCATGTCAGTCGGGTCAAGTTATTATTATTACTTATTTTTTTTTTTGCGTCTGTGACCGATTCAATTGAAGAACTCATTGAATAGTCCGTCCACCAACCTTCGATCATCGGCCGACCATCGGCATGTCGGTCGTCAGTCGGTCGACATTTAGGAACAACTGTCGACCTAAGATGAAATTCAAACTCCGGCCTAGCGAACGATGATCGGGCGACGGTTGGCCAACTAATAAATATTTTTTACTTTTAAAGGTATCGGTGTTCCTAGGAATTCTGCGTCGCCCGATACTAGTGTCGGCCGATCATGTTTTTTTCGGCCGACGATACGAAAATAATTTGGTCGCCCGACCATCGGCTTAAATGTGACCTAAGCATAACATTTTAATTTTGTTATACTGATGATATACAAGGAATTGTATATGTTTGCATACTAGCTAGGATGCAGGTTCCTAAGAGAAAATGAATTGAAAATAAAAACATCGCTGAATAGTTGGCACTTTGGTGTGAGCTGCTTTAAGACGACCCCGAGATTTAAATATATTTGTAATATGCTTTGTAGTTTTTGAAATAAAGCATATATTTGATCATTTCTGTTGCATTTTATTGATTTACTTACATGTTAAGAAAAATGACACCGGACCAAATAAACTTGACATGTACTGACAGTTTTTTTTGCTTATAAATTGCGATTTCTTAAAACATGTTAGCTACAAAAAGGCTGTCAGTTGCCAAATACATTGAAAATGAAGTTTCTCTTCATATTTTAAAATAAAAGAAGCATTTCGATGAATTAAATATAAGAAATATATAATTTTCCCGCTCACGATCATGGCTTCACACATGGGCATGTGATCGCCAACCAGAACTCCTCAAAATGTATTGTGGATATCAAATACATAAATCTTTGTATGGAATACTGAATGTTGTATCTGTTTCCCAAAATTCAAATTTATTCTTAGAATTAGTCAAAAACGTTAAAATTTAGGCATTATGTATAAATTCTTGTATCTTTTGCATGAAACCGGACGGATTTTATCATAACCTCACCTGTATGTTCATGACAACGAACCAGTTTCAGTGCTTAACTTTAAAGGTTTCTGACAACGGTACTGTCTAGGAACTTAACGTGTTCCTGGCCGTGATACTGTTGAAAACTTTGAATGGACTACTGACGGGCGACTCATTCGTGATAAGAACACCTGCAATTTACAATGAAATTTATTTTGTGCATTGTTTAATCAAGCTTATCTGACTCTTTTTCTTTAGCCAAAATGTTTATAATTATATTATTGTGTTCAAAACTTCTCATATTGTGACTGTTGAAAAATATATCTCGTTTTACCAGTCTAATTACGTTTAGATCACATGATGTTGAATTTGTAACATTTTATAACATTTTAGATGGCAATTTAATAAACCATCGAATGGCTTTCAAATGATTGCACATTTGTTGTAATCAATCATTATAATTGGATATTTGGAGACAATACATGTATATACATATATATAATATATATATATATAGAGAGAGAGAGAGAGATTGTAACTTTGTAGTTATGGGGAATGTCATTTTTTAATATTACAGGTGTGTATATGATGTAGTTTTCCTTTTTAAGGAGTTTAGAGTATAATGAGAAGAACTTGCAAAACGCTATGGATCTCCAGAAAAACATGATAGCAGATATGGGCGGAACTGAAATATATAAACCTCTGGAGGATATTTTTAAAAACAAACCCGCCGACTCCTACGCTAGACAAGTGAGTATCTTGACAATCAATTATTTTTAATATTGTTTTCTTCTTGAAAATACTTTAAAATTCATTAAGTTTTTGAAAAGACGCATAAATTCATGATCCTTCCATAGGTTTTCTTGCTAACGGATGGACAAGTTTGGAATGTTCCAGAAATAGTTAAGCTTGTGAAAAAACAGAAAAACACAAGGTATTGTATTACTATTCTCAGATGTCACAACTTTAATGAAGTATGATTCTTTGATAAGAATAAAATTTTCTACCTCTGATTGATTTATTTTTTGGGTCACCTGGGTTTACTCAGGTGACCTTTTGCTATCTGTTTTCGTCCGTCGTTGTGCGTCGTGTGATGTACGTGAACATTTTCAGCTTCTTTTCTGAAACCCCTGGACCAATTTCAACCAATTTTGACATAGCATTAATGTGTGAAGGTGAACAAAAATTGTGAATTTCATGATCCCTACCCCCATGGGGCCTGAGGGGTGGGAACAAAACCACTAAAAATAATGCAATCTTTAAAAATCTTCTTCTTTACTCCTGGATATCAAGCAGTCAAACTGTAGACATAATTGTTTTAAACACTGAGTCTTCTACCAAAATTGTGAAATTCATGGCCCCAGGGTCAGGGGTTCTCGTGTTAGGGCAGGGCTCTGTTGAATATGTACATGTAGTAAAATTGCATTATTTCTTAAAAATATTCTCCTCTGCTCCTGGGTATTAAGCAAACAAACTAAACGCACAGTTATGATGAGGAAGGGTGCCTCCTCCAAAATTGTGAATTTCATGGCCCCTGAGTCAGGGGTTCTGGTGTTAGGACAGGGCTCTATTGCGTTAACTCTTTAAGGAGGTTCGATCCTGAACTTTTGAGCAGATTTTGGTCTGGACCTTTATTTCTAAAATTCTGCATCATTTTTAAGATCTAACATTAAATATGGATTCTACAATGCAAATTAAACTATATCCGATGAAAAAAAAAATGCAATTAAATTCCATTCAAATAGGATTAAGCCAGGAACTATATTTTGTGGCGGAAGGTTTTTTAGAAGAAAATTATCAATTTTTCCCTTTTGAAATATATACAGTACTGTTAAGTTTAGATTCCTATTTTTCCATGCCGGTTGTACACAGAGCTGTTTTTGCAGTGAAATGTTTTATGCTGGCTCTGAAATATCTATTAAATTATTTCTTATGAATTCTTTTATTGTATTGTGACAAATATAGCAAATATATTCTGAAAGTCCAGGAAAAAATTGAGCCAATTTTAACATAAAATTAACACTTTTTTAGTAATATCTAAAAATTTACATAATAGACCCCCACTTTTGTTTTTCTTTTCTGAATATATAAGATACCGTTGATCAATCTGCTTAAATTCAGCAAAAGTTTTTAAGAAATAAGGTATCATTTAAAATGTTTTATTGGGTTGTAAATACGGGTTGGTCATGTGATCAAATCCCATAAAGCCCGAAGGGCTTTATGGTAGATTTGATCACATGCCAACCCGTATTTACATCCCGATAAAATTTTAAAAATGATACCTTGTTACTTATATTTACATTTGTGATTTATTACAAATAGTAAGGTACTAAACTTTTAAACATATAAATGACTTATTTTTTTTCAAAACTCAACGGTATGACTTGAGTGTGTTGAACACGTCTATCACTTATGACGTCACTATGAAATTACGTGGATCGTTTATGACTAAACAATCAATTTATGGTCACATGACGAACGTGTTTTACACAGGTGTAAAAACGCCTTGTTCAAAAAGTGTTATGTAAGGAAAAACATTTGCAAATGTATATATAAGACTTTAAGATAATTTTCGTGCTTGTTAAATTTTTAATGCCAGAAAAATCACATTTTGTGAGTGCAGAAAGGTCAAATAATTGATTATGCGAAGCAATTTGAAACTTTTTCTTAGTCACAATTTTAATGTGTCTTTTTTAAATAGACTAATAGTTTATTTTGTCCCATGATTTATTTGGATAAAAACATGGGAGGGAAAACGTCGAAGATGTGATTTTTGATTAAGACACAAATTTCAGTGCGAAAAGGTCATATGAAATGTACTGTAGCGCCAAAAGAAGCATATTGACCCCCATTTTTTGTTCTGATTTTTAATTAAGCTATGTGTGTAGAAACTAAAAATATACTTGACAAAAAAAGTTTAAGACTTTAAATATCAGGATCCAACCTCGTTAAAAATCTTCTCTCCCTCTGTATACTAAGCAGATAAACTATGTTCATGGTTATAATGATCAAGGGTTCCTCTTCCAAAATTTTGAAATTTGTGGCCCCAGGGTGAGGGGTTCTGCCAGGGGGGAGGAGGGCTCTATTGATTTTCTTTAAAATATTCTTCTCTGCTCCTGGTCATCTAGGAGATAAATAGAGTATATAAAGTTGTAATAAGCACGGATGTTTTTTTTACCAGATTTTGAAATTTTTTTACCCTTTGGTCCTTTTATTAATTTTTACTGAAAGAATTTATTCCCATTTGCTATTCACCTATAATAGTTAATCACTGTAAATAATGTAACTTAAAAGGTCAGTTGAATAATAAAATTATACAAGAAATTTTATAATATTTATTACAAAAGTACTTTCATAGTTTTTAAGAGTCAGGTAAAGTTTTGATTAATAGATAAATAAAAATGGGTCAAAATTACCATATCCTTGTTCAATTATACATAATCTTTAAAGAGAAGGAGAGGCCAATGCGAGGGGGAATGAAATGTGTTAACAAATAGTGCTCTAGAACTATTGTTTTGTATTGTTTTGCATAAAGATAGTGACAAATGGGGGAATGTACAGGCAAAGAAAATAGATCAACTTTAAGATTTGTTATTGAGTACTAAATTAATATTTTGCTGATCCCTGATTATCCTATTTCTCTTGCTTTTGGGCAACATAGCTTTATTTATCAGCTATTTTTGTTTTAATCTATGGATCGTTACATTATACTCAGGTGATTGTTAAGGCCACTGCGCCTCTTGTTTCTTTATTCTAACGAACATTTACTAAAAATAGTAATTTGAAATTCTTTCACAACGCTAGATTACTCTGTCTACAGTTTCCGCATAGTGTAAATTATTACACTTTAATTTGGATGGAAAATTTAGCAATGGCTTTTAAAAGAAGAGTAATATATATTGCACAGTTCTTCAAAAAGCCAGTCCTTGCACCTAATGCTTTGGATCTGAATTTCATAAATTTTTGTACTCGAGTAAACTTAAGCCTATGAATAAATTTCCTTTATTGATGTTGCAATAGTTTCTAGTTCCAATTACATGTATTGTGTTTCTCGTCCTTTATTATGAATACAAAGCAGTAGAGAGTCCGTCTAGTCAGAGACGTCTGGTTTGTTTTCGTATCTACTGATACAGACTATACAATTTGTATGTTGGAAAATTGATTATTGAATGATGAAAAAAAATGAATTTCTTTTACCTATAAAAAATTTAAATATATGAAATTGTGTTCCTTATGTAGAATCTTTACATTTGGGATTGGAGATGGTTGTTCAACAGAACTGATAAAAGAGGTTGCAAAAGCAAGTAGAGGAAAGGCCACTTTTGTCAAAGACAATGAGAGACTAGCATCTAAGGTGAGAATTTGATCATTAGATTTATATATGGTATTACTTCAGTTCTGCTTTAAATCATATCTATCTTAATTCCTCAGACCAAATAAACAAGGTATACATTTTAAGGTAACTTAAGTTTGTTTGTTTATTGTTGTTAAACGCCCATCGAGAGAATTTTTCACTCATATGGAGACGCCACCACTTACCAGTGGAGAACTGCAAATTTTGACCTATAATCGGCACTTAGGACTATTGAGCAGTGAGGGATCTTTTTCGTGCCAGCACCTGCTGCGACACTGGACCTCGGTTTATACGGTCCCATCCCAAGGACCGGTCTCCACGCCCCACAGTGGGATTCGAACCCGCGACGTAAGGATCAACTCCATACTCCGCAACTCTAGAGCAAACGCTCTAACCACTGCGCCACGCGGGCGACTAGGTAACCTAAGTCAATTACCTCAGTCTTCATTTCTTTTTCGTCGTCTTCGAGCGTCGTCCGTCGTGTATGAAGATTTTCATCAGATTTACTGAACATTTTCAGCTTTGCTACATATAGAAATTTCATTGGTCATAGATCTTGCGTCACTTGATAAATACTGTATCCAGTGACTACATTGTAATTAAATTCACAAAAATGACTTGATCTTGCAGCAGACAATCACGGGATTGTGGAAATAGAATGGACGTGTCATAAAATTCCGTGGCTTGAGGTGACGGGCCCCTGGGTCCAGGGTTCAGACTCCGTGATGCGGCTAAGTTAGTCATGTATTGAAAATGCAATTATTATATCTAATCAATTCTTCTTTACTCATAGACATTTAGCAGACAAACTGTTTCATGATCATAATGAGAATGTAATTTTCTACCGAAATGTGAAATTCATGGCCCCTGGGTCAATGGTTTAAGTCAAAAGGATTATCACCTTTCAATTTTTTTTATATAATAAAATTTTCATGCTATTATTATCATCCATGTAGAAAATTCATATTTTCTGATAATTCAGTTATTCAAGGTTCTAATTTCTCAAAATGTATATTTTGATGGGCGCCATTGCTCTGCGCCATTGTTTTTATTTCATCTGTATAGAATGCCATCGAAATATGTCGTTAATTTCATTAGACATTGCGAATTTATTTAGATCATGTCTGTAATGAAAAGCAGTGTACAATGTGGAATTACGGATGTCTCTTTAACTTGGAACCTTCCTGAAGGATGCTCCGTCATTAATGCCTCAGAAGAAGTCCCGCCAGTTTTTCAAGGAGACAAGCTTATCCTCTATGGAATCATATCAAGAGATATATCCAAAGTATACCCTAAACATTCTCTTGTATGTTAGAATCAGTAATGATAATCAACAATAGGCAACTATAAATAAACTTATTTAATTTCATTCAGTTATTAAAGAAATACATGTATATATAGCATCTATGATTTTATTTTTCTTTCAAATACGATACATGCTCATGTAGATTTCAAAATTAATACTTGAGAAATATTTGATTTTGATTTTTAATAGCGATTTCCTGGCAAAAGTTCAATGAAACTGGCTGGTAAAGCAGGGGACAAGAATGTGGAATACAACATGGATTTTACTTTAAGTGCCACAAGCAGGTCAAGTAACAAAGATGAATCATGTCCACTTCATAGACTAGCCGCTAAAACCAGATTATCAGAGATGGAAATGAATGGTGCTGATGGTAAGGCTTCGTATTATAATACGTGTAATTGTGAACAGTGTTTAGCAAAAATCACAAAAGAACAATTTATCGACTGATTTTAATAATTCTTTTGGAAAGTCCTTTTTTGTTTCATTGGGTTGTGTTTCATACCAATTGGTAGGCTTTTGTTTTTATACAAAATTTGACTACGGAATGTTCCGTCTACCTGATCAATACAAAATGGCTCACGGTGGGTGTGATCTGTCAACAGGATGCTTACCCCCTTCTAGGCACCCATCGTTGGAATTCTGGGGGACCGTATTTTATGCCCAGTTTACAAATTTGTATTGTTTGTAGATTTATTTTTGAGACTGATCAGTTTGATATCCTCACCTTTTTCATTTTAATTAATCTCATTCTCTACGGAAATGTAAAAAAGGCATATACACAATACCATCTCTCTCTCTCTTAAACGTAGCTGACTCGTAAGACAACGTTCATCCTCGCCTTTTGAACATTTTATTGCTTGTTCTTTCAACGGCAATATTAAAATATTTTTTTCGGTAAATAGAGGAAAAAATCGCATTAAATGTATTTTCACATGTGGGACCTAAGGGTTGTGGCCTAAACCTTCAACAATAATTCACTTTTTGAAGCTTCTTTAACCTTGAAAACCAAACTTACATGTAACTCACAACTACATGTATATACTTTTTGATGATTATTGAAATTCTTAGCTCATATCCTTTAATAATTATATCATTTTCGTTACAGTCAAAGACTTATATGACTAAGCATTGATAAGATATGACAATTCTTACAGTATCATGATGACTCCTTTCTATTTGCTTTGATTTTAGAGCATGAGATTGTGGTCCTAAGCACCGCAGCCAATGTTACAAGCACACAGACAGCATTTGTTGGTGTGGACAAAACAAGTGGTGACGTAATATCAAAATGTCAAGACACAGAACAGTTAAAAGAGGAAATGATAAGTCACACAATTTCACGAAAGCGGAAATACGGAGGAAATATCAAACGCAAAAAAGCCAAATGTGCAAATTTTGGAGGTGCAGGTAAAGCATTAGATATATAATAATTAAAGCTTTGATTTAAGGGACATTAAGCTTAATTTCATTTTTCACAAAGATGCTTCCACCTATTTCTAGTTTTACTACCGAAGAAGAAAAAGGCAGCATCAAAAGCAAAACAGGCATACAGAGCATGCAGTCCAGCAACCTCAAGATGCCGCAAGTTGCTAAAATCTGAAGATTCGGATTTGGCTTTAGGTACATTAAAGCACAATATACACTGTACATGTATATCAAGTATGGAGAAAACAGACAAAACATTTACAAAAGAGAAAATTTAATATTGCTATATATAGCACAGTAATGAATAGGTACAGGTATACATGTATAAAACTTGGCCTTTTAAAAAATTGTAATTCATCATATATAATTACTCAAACGTGGATTTTTTTTAATTTGAAAGACTCTTTCGTTATTTCCCTTGGGAAAATATTTCCCATAACTGAAAATATTGAGAAAAAAAAATCAAATTTTCCATGAATATATCTGTCTCATTCATTTTTAATTATATTTAATTTTTAATTTGTTATAGATATATAGATTAAAGATATTAACCGTCTTGTAAAACACTTGTCATTACCCATGGATGTTTTCCAACAGCTTTGAAGCTTTTTTTTCTTACTTAGCAAATGCAACCGTGTATTTTTCCTAATTGTAAAGGGAAAATATAGTCATCTCATGAAAATTATCTTTAAAAAAATTAATGTTAGTTTAAGAATAATCAACAACTCACAACCATTAATTTTTTGTGTAGTTGTATCAACTGGAGAGATAAGTGTACAAGATTGAATCTAATTTGATTTTTTAAAAATTCAGATATTTCATAGATTATGGTCTTTTATGTCATGTCGTGAATACAACGTTAATGAAAATATGACTCCATTTGTGCATGATATAAAAACTTACCATATTTGCATCAATAAACAATGTGTAAATTTTGTAATATGCCTATAGTGGGCGGGCGTCTTAATATGAGCAAAAATTAATGAGCATAAAGTCATAAACACGTGCACATTGTAAGCTGATCAAAATTCATACTTGAACGCAAATAAAACTTACTGTAGACTTTAATATCTAGATGATACATCTAAAATGATAAAGTTGGTCGAGAACCAGAGGTTTGACGGATCCTGGCAGCTGAATAAAACTTTATCTGAAATACTCGGCTTGTCTTTGAATAAAATAAAGTCAGCTTCTGTTGTAAAGGTATGTATGTTTATGTATATTCAACATGTGCAAGGCTCACTGATTCTACAATTAAAGAGTTTTTTTTAATGTTTTTAACCAGAATACCTTCAGCCTTGTCTTGTCTGTCGATCCGTCTGGCTATCTATCTGGAGAACCGTGGCACTCTATGAAATAAAATTCGTACAGATATACCTTCTGTCAGTTAACTATTTTTAAAAACTTAAACTTATCAAAAAAAACATGTAGACTATTTTCTCTCCTAACTGGCATCTAATAGTCTCACAATTTTTCCTACAGATCTATGTTTTATTTGATCATATAAACTGCATAATTAGACTGTATTTCCGATCAAAAAAGAAATGCATGATAGAATTTTAATGAAACATTCAAACACGAAAATTCTTCAGAGACTTACGTGTTGATAATAAAATTTTAATGTTGTTTACAATAGGGCTACAATAAACATGTCATAATTATTGAATGATTTTACAACCATACACATTTCAATTTCCTTAAAGTTCAAAATATGATATTCCCTAAGCCTTCACTAATGATAGTCTGACAACGTCTTCCCATGGACGAATTTGAGTGTAGGTATGTTATTTCACTCTTATTGCAATGCTTGGGTCAGCTGTTGCAGGGTCTTGGCTTGCTGTTGTCTTTAGCAGATATCCCTATTCAATTTGCCTCATGCATGCTCAATGATGTATAAAATCAAAGATTTAGATGGCTTTGACCGAACTGAATGTTGTGACTTTACAAGAAGGTACGTATTAAACAAGCCGTATGTGGCTTTGCATTGTAATTTTGAAATACGGCTCCGAGATATTACATTACTGGAGGTAGGACATCCTCACTATATAGCGTTGTGTCTTTAAGTTATTTGAATAGGAATTTATCAAGTTCGTCCTGTTTGTATAAGAATATCATTCCATGCCATCGTGACACTAAATATACCTCCCAGACAAAGTTTTCCGCACAACATTCATATACGATGGACATAGACTGACTATTTCATCAAGCTCAATTCGCAATACAAATTTGGAATAGAAGATTATAATAAGCAATCTACTTGCTTGTATTGTTTTGGCCATACTCTGTTGGTCTGAGACCTTGTCGATATTGGCGGTGTTCCGAGTCAAAAATGCTATGAATAGGTCCTCAGATGCAAATATCATCTCTCCTTTGCTGATTGCAAACGGTTTGATATTATGTTCTGTACAATAGTTAAAGCTGTGGGAAACGTTGTTGTCGAACGTTTATGACACTGCTTGAAAAAACACCTTTACAAAACTTTACTTGCAAAGTAAATCTCATTAAAGGTGCTCCAAAAAGCAAGGTCATCTTTGTATTAACTTTACAAAAAGTAAAGGTGAAAAGGTAACCTTTACTTACACGAAAAGGTAATTAAATTTAACCTTTCACCTTTAATGCTGCATTAAAGTTTATATATATATATATATATATATATATATATATATATATATATATATATATATATATATATATATATATATAATGAAACTTTTTAAAATCCTTACTTGAATACTGACTTTTGTTTAATACACTCGTACTTAAGATTTCAACAAATGGTTTTTGACTTTTAATAAATAGGTATCTGATGTGTCTATTGTGTTACCCCCCCCCCCCCCATTTTGTTAAAATCGATCTTACTAAAAATACACAAATTTTCAAGCGTTATATCAATTTCCAGTTGTATTTAGTATTAGAGATTGTCATCTACAAAATGTAAAAATTTATACTATTTTTGTATACTGTAGACGGACAATCAAAAATGTAAAAATGGTATCAGATATCAGAATATAGATATAATAAACTTTCAAATTTCCTATGACTTAACCTTTAAGTTATCTGATTTGCTGGTATCTGATAGATGGAGAGCTCTTTTTTATTTGCTTTTAGTTTAGATATATTGGAACCTTTTCTGTTATAATTTCTGCTTTATAAATATCTACCAAAAACAGTTACAAACATTACAAGATTACATCTTTTACTAGAACAGGCAATAAAATGACAAAGAATAAAATAAAAAAGGTTAAAATACAATACAATATTATTCATCCTTTATGGTGCATGTACATGTGTCAAAACTTCGCAGTTTAAATGGAACTAAAAATGCCTTACTCAGTTATTACTCAAGATCACTGATGAGAAACTACGCAACATAAATATGGCAAAGTACTAGTATTTCCAATTTAAACTATTAAAGGCTATCTAATGAGTATTTATGTACAGGTTAATAATGTTGACATCTTGTAAGCATAATGGTGTAATTTACATATTCACAAAATAAAGAAACAAAATTGCTTAAACATCTATTAGAATATAGCTTCAGAGGTAGTTTTGCAAGATGCATAAGTAAATGCATGTGTCCAGCTTCACGCAGTGAGCCGGTTTGAGCTTGACTTTATACTTTGGATTAAATGTTATATGTGCATTGTGTCTGTGGTAGGAGATTGTGTTTGCATTGTGTCCATCTTCACACGCCTTGGAAAATATGTAACTGGTTGTGGTAGATGCTTGAGTGCTTGCGTATGTGTCCAGCTTCACACATTTTCATGTATGTGCTCGACTTCACACGCCTTGGAAAATATGTAACTGGTGTTGTGGCACATGTTGTATGTTTGCATATGTGTCCAGCTTCACACATTTTCATGCATGTGCTCGACTTCACACGCCTTGGAAAATATGTAATTGGTTGTGGTGGATGCTTGTGTGTTTGCATATGTGTCCAGCTTCACACATTTTCATGTATGTGCTCGACTTCACACGCCTTGGAAGATATGTAACTGGTGTTGTGGTACATGTTGTATGTTTGCATATGTGTCCAGCTTCACACATTTTCATGTATGTGCTCGACTTCACACGCCTTGGAAAATATGTAACTGGTGTTGTGGCACATGTTGTATGTTTGCATATGTGTCCAGCTTCACACATTTTCATGTATGTGCTCGACTTCACACGCCTTGGAAAATATGTAATTGGTTGTGGTGGATGCTTGTGTGTTTGCATATGTGTCCAGCTTCACACATTTTCATGTATGTGCTCGACTTCACATGCCTTGGAAAATATGTAATTGGTTGTGGTAGATGCTTGTATGTTTGCATATGTGTCCAGCTTCACACATTTTCATGTATGTGCTCGACTTCACACGCCTTGGAAAATATGTAATTGATTGTGGTAGATGCTTGTGTGTTTGCATATGTGTCCAGCTTCACACATTTTCATGTATGTGCTCGACTTCACACGCCTTGGAAAATATGTAATTGGTTGTGGTGGTTGCTTGTGTGTTTGCATATGTGTCCAGCTTCACACATTTTCATGTATGTGCTCGACTTCACACGCCTTGGAAAATATGTAACTGGTGTTGTGGTAGATGTTGTGTGTGCTCGACTTCACATGCCCTGGAAAATATGTAACATTGGTTGTGGTTAATGCTGGAGTGTATGCATATGTGTCTTGCTTCACACAGAGAGAAAAGTTTTGTGTGCTCTTTTCTACAAGATAATGATTATTTAAATATACTCCGAATACATCCTCTAAAGAAATGGATAATCATAATGAGTTACATACTAAGTTCCTCTGTGCACAATATACACAATTTTACTGAAATTAAACTTGTGCAAAAACTCTCTTGCTGAATAACTTTCATTATTATAAATGCTTGAATGTTCGTCTATAAATTTTCAGATATTTTCTAGTCAGTGTGTATATTCTTGATCACGATGGCATCCATATTTGATTCCCCTCTCTGTCATCTTTTCTTGGTCACCAGTTAATTCAACAGTAGGATGGATACTCAGATCTCTCGGGTGTTGGACAAAAGGAGTGCTAATAATAAACATAATCTTCGAAATTATAGATAATAATATCCATTTCTTTTCCAGCTTTGCATAAATTAGTTATCTTTTTAAATTAAAGCACATCTGCAATATCCCTGAAAACTTGCCAAGATACTTAATATGTTTGTAGCATGCTTTAACTACTTTAATTTTATTTGTGGAATTTTAGAATAATAGAAAAGCAAGTTCATATATAAAAATGAAATGTAAAAGATCTTAATAATGAAGATTCATTTACACAATGTGATAACACATTGAAGTCAATTCCTCACCTGACTTGCTCGTAATTTATCTTCATAATGGAGTTGATTCTGTGATGATCACTTTCAATCATTTAAAAAAACTTCTTTATCTCAAACTATCTGAAGGTCATCCATCTTCCCAACTGCCACTCACCCAAAGTGTACCGAAACTTCTGACCTGTATAATATCCAAATTCAAGATTAAAATAAAAAAAATCTCTTTACAATATTGGTCTCTTTAAAAAATGCGAGAAAATAATTTTAAATACTTTTCTAAAGATGGAATAATGTGGTGAGTACCTAACAATGTTTAAAAATATTTTGATCTCTGTACAGTGATAACATATGAAAAAGTCATGTCCCTTGTAATTGAAAAAAATTTCCATTCTTAAGGACATTACCCAACATAGAAATAATGTACATTTGTCTCTGGCACAACCAATCCACAAGAGACCTTTCCATACTTAGCACCATGCATTAGCTCTCCACTCTTTGTTTCTACAAAAGATAAATTATGAAAAGGTAATTTTTTGACTGTTAAATCAGATTAATTATTTTCCAACAGTGATGAATAGAATATTTGATTTCCTTAATAATCAGGGACATATTATTCATGTTTATCTCAAATGAACAAAGTTTGATCCCCCCCCCCTATCTCCACTACAAAAGGAAATAAACTGACTCAGAAACTCTTAATTCAGTGAGGTAAAGGAAATAATGGCATCAGACAAGGAAAGATTATTAATCATTTTTTCAGTTGAGATGAGATTATATCTTTTAAACATTTTTGGGGTTAATATATTTTTAACACCCCCCCCCCCCCCGCATCAAACAAAAAAAAGTCGCCCCTTTATTTAGCTGTCCTAAATCTATATAAAAAAAAAAATTAATGATTTTTTTCATTTTAATTTATTATATCTTGACACTATACACAGTGGTAGTAGATGCAATAAATTAAGAGGTGACCCCTCCCCCCCCCCCCCCCCCCAGATGTTACGTCTGAAATGTTAAACGACTGTTGTTCAATATCTTGAAAGACAGAAAACAGTTATACACAACAATTAAGAACATTTTCATTACCTTGCAGTCAGTGTCGAGTGACACACGTAAACAACATCCCGCAATTTCTTTGTTTATTCTTGGCGGAATTTTGTGGCCTTGTAGACTGGTTCCCATACATTGCAAGTGCCCTGAATAAGTCATACGCTTATTGGTTTTGTTTATAAGAGGTAATATCAGTAATATGTCCCGTTCATTTGACAAACTTTACTTTAAAATACTGAAATATATATTATCATATTATACCGATGTTTTCCACCTCAGTATTGTGTAATCCTCTTCATTCAAGTCTTCTCGAATACAAAACGAACGATTTACTTTTAACAGTAACCCAAATATGGCACTGTGTATTCGGTTGAATAGCCAATCATTTCAAATCAAGTTGAGCGGGTCTCATCGAATTTTCTGGTATTTTTGACGAAAATATGCAACCAGTGATCAGTTGATTTAATACCTTTTCATCTACCGGTAGATTTAAGGAGGTTATTGCTTGGAAAACTGCTCGAGCTCTCGGGCTGGCAATTGGCATGCACTGCAGTGCAGGTTTGTTTACGTTTTCCATCTGTTTTCAGCATACATTGTGGAACATTGAAACTGACGAAAGTCAGGAAAAACTACGCTAAATATGTATTTTAGATAAGTAACTTGATAAATTGGGGATAATGTTCCATTTTTTCTGTAAAGGATCATGGGTTAAACAAGACCAAGAAAAAACAATTCTAGGTCACAGTTTTAGAATGTTTATCTGTTTACATTAATGCTAGAAAAAAAATAGAAGCCAGGGTAGGGGCAATGTTCTTAATAGAGGGCAAGTTAGGTTATATTTTATAGATATTATTTTGTATTCTAAACCATGTCCATTTTTCAAAAACAGGTTCTAGTGAAATCAATTATGCAGTTTCTTGAAGGAAAAAAGTCATGGATGACAACAATGTATGATTTACCAGACCAAGGGATACCAATGTTTTTTGACGGTACTTGTACGTATTAGTTTTAAAAAAATCAATAAATGGTATCATTAAAATGTTACTTAAACAATTATTTACATTATCAATTGCTTGACTTGTTCGGGAGTCAGTATAATTATACATTTCTGTTTTCAAAAAATGTGTTACTACTTTTTCCAGGCTCCACCTACTCAGCTTACTGTGAGAGAGTTAACACCTTATTGACAGATCTTTCAAGAAGAAGAAACACTTGAGAAGGGTTCAATAGTTTAATTTTATAGATGGCAAGTATTGCTTAGACCTAAAGTATTCTTTAATTGTGAAGAAAACAAACATAAGGGTGTTTGGCAATTCATAATTATTAACTGTGATTGCATTGTGTATTTTTAAAATCATTCTTTGGTATGCTTCAAACTCCAAAGTATTTATGAAAACATTGACTATATTTATCCAGATGTATGAAATGTTTATCAAAGTATGAATTCCATTTTAGCATGTTATCTTCAAAATGAGGGACCTGTCAACTTTTACAATTCCAAGATCAGGAAATAATTCATGAGCAGCAACATGCTACTTGGAGAAAGGTACATATATCCTAAACCATAACTAGAGTATCATACTATAGCTCGATAAGCAGCAACTATTGGTCCTTTTGTAACCTGATTACTAAGAAGGAAAATGGAGTTAATTATATGTGTTCAGTAATTATCCATAGATACTGATGCCAGTACTTTTTCACAAATTATCTTGCAAGTAAGACAAACATTTTCCAATTCTGCAAAAGTATCTTAGCTACAGAAGGTCACAAGAAATCTTATACATGTATTACTCCTACATTAGTATATTTTGTAAATAATCCTTTCAAAAGAAATATTAGGTAATGATAAACAAAGAAATTACAGAGTCATTAAATTTTAATCTTAGGGGTAAGATAAAGGCTAGTGGCCCAGTCCATTTATATTATAAAATAAGTTAACAACAACATGTTCATCTGTTTGTATCTGTCTTATTTAATAAGATTAGCATCGTTTTTTTGGTAAAAATAAAGGCTGACATTAATGGTTCAAAATATTTTCTTTTTGAGGTTAAAGGTCATGTATGAAATTTTTATTTATTAATATGGTTGCATCTTGTTTCAATTTTCATTAGTCATGATACTGTGAATACTGATATCACAGTTTATTTGAATTTATAACACATATGCCTATGAAAATATTCATATTCATGTCACTCATAATATATATATATATTTTTCTTTGAAGGAAAACAATAGAAGACTGCCTGCATGAGAATAAAAGTTTTGGACTCTGAAAAGGAAGGTGTGACACAATATATATCTGGACAGTTGTTGATTTCCACAGAAATGCATGTTCAGTAACAAGAAAGCAGAGCACAGTTTCATGTCAATTCAAATCTTTAAATTCAAGGATGAACAATTGGTTCTTTATACGAAACAAAATGACATGTTTGAAAAGGATTTTGGTGAAATGTACTCTGTCCTGGATACTTATTTATGTGTATTGGATTTGCAGGATAGACTATGAACAACAGATACTGTCAAGAAATTTGATGTTTTTGATTATATGTTTGTATAAAAATGTTTGGTATAGTAATAAAGAAAGTTTAAGTCAATCTGTTGTTACTTTGTATATTAAGTATGATGTCCAGACTTCTTTTGCAGTTTCAATTTGGAAGGAAAAGCTTATTTATTATATGCACAAGCTTTATTCAGAAGAATGGAAAAAGTAATTATTAACTTTTGTGGCTATTAAAGATGGTATTTAAGTAAATTTAAGATTTGTAATTATCAGCTTTAATGAACCCCAAATACTGTGTTTTATGTTTGTAAATATTAACTTTACTTTTTTGTAAAGTCAAGAAAAAGTGGGACATTACATCATATTTAAGTGCATGTAAAGTTAATGTAAAGGTTACCTTTTCCAACTTTGACTTTTTTCAGAAAAGCCAATTAAAGGCATTGTAAATAATAAATTTACATTATCTTTACTTGTTTTGTAAAGCCAAATTTTCATGCAGTGTGAAGATATCACAAACCAATGAAGAGACCACATTCAAAGATAATTTTATATTACTCAACGTATTATTCCTATGTAGGTGTATTAGCAACTGAAAGAAAGTGCGCCATCTCTACCCTGTCATTGATGTTACGATACACCAGATGCCAATACAGTCCAATTTTTCACACTGAAACCTGGCATAATATATAATTTGCTCTTTATTTTTCCTGTATAAACGATGAACTCGAGTACTTTTGAAATATTAATATATTTTAGCGTGGTTAGTTAAGATACCATAACAAAAAATACACCACAACAAAAAAAAAAAAACCTAAGTCGCATTTAGGTAAAAATATTTTGTCAAATATTTAGTCATTTTTATAATATATACATGTTATTAGTCTCGAGACTTTTGTCAATTGTACTTCACTGAATTGGTAACTTCTTTTGACAGGATGTAAATGTCTGGGCCACAGCTCTTGCAATAGCATTCTTGAGAAAAGATTGGAAGGAACAGAAGGCGGAATGGGAAATGATCGAAGAGAAAGCATTAACATGGCTAAGGTCGAAAGATCATGAGGGGAAGGATATAATGCAGGAAGCCATGGCATTTTTGTCGGCGTAATATCGACCTAATGTTATTTCTTTCTAAAATGCAAGTTTACATATGATTTTGTGCCAGGAAAAAATGACTTTTTAAATAATGTTCAAAAAAATGAAAATGGACTGAAGATCCACGGCTTGATTTTTTTTAAATCCAAGTTTATTCTATATATTAACATATTATTCATACGAGGGTTGTTCGGAAAGTTCATGGACTATGCCAATCTTCGTTTTAGTATCTAAAAGAAATTTAAAATGAGCACATTATCATAATTATGTAAAAATATTAATTTTGTTTAGGTGTGAAGTTTCATTCCATGTGATTTAATAGAGTTCATGTTATTTAATTTTAAAATAAACAGGTTTTGTAACCACGGAGCAACCTCAACAACACTGTAACGTCAATAACATACCGACACGAGGTTCTCAAAAATACTATCACACAGTATTGCCCAATACCAGTGCACTCATTAAAAACGTTTCTCTATCACTTGAAATCTATTTTGCTAACAATTGTTCCAGTAGCATTATTTTGTTTGTCAATTATATATTTTTTCACTGCATAAGTGTGCTTTCACACACTTTCGATCAGCATCTGTTAAGCGCCAAACTCTTAGCATGACGTTGCTAGCTTTTCAATGTTTTTGATAAGATTTTTACAGATAATCCTTTTTCTCACAGACCACCATGACCTAAGCAGAGTAATCCATCATTCAAATACCGCTTGTACATGTACCATGTACACACACATGCATGGCTTGCTTTTGACATATTTCCTTCCTCCTCCGGCATTTTCAAAGTTTTTTTCTGGAGTTTTTCAGAGTACAAAACAAAATTATATGGTTAGCTGCTGCTCCGTGACGTTCTACGAAGTCGTCTTTTTGCCTTTTTCAATGAAGACTGCCTATCCTCTGAAACTGATTTCTTTTCAACGAAGCAAAATACTTTTATTCACACTTTTATTCAGTTTCTGAGTACAAAGACATGAGTTTACACATCGATAAATTCTGAAAAAGAACGTTTAATTCTTATAATTCCAATTACGACGTTTTAAAATTATTTCTCTTTGAAACCTCCATACAATCTGTTATTTCTGTACAGCGTAGGAATACTTTATGCCGCGATGTGGAAATGAATCGCAATCGAGATGAACGTCGATAAAGTTCAACTTTAATTGTCAAAACATTTAATAAAATAGCTTACCAAAACTCTTAGAATATTGTTTAAGTCAACAAATATCGTAAATACAAGTAAACTTCACAAGAATTCGTACTTGACCATGTATATAGGCCATGTTCACAATATAACGACAGACACTCTAAAATGAAAGTAGCAGACCGACGACAACCTTGATTTTTCTCTGGTTTGTTCAAAGACGGGACAGAATAAAGGATGTAGAAAAATGAATTTGATGCCAATAAGGCAAGAGTCTAAAGTACTTTTCTCTTTCCTATCACAGCGCTACCGAGAACTGAGCTGATTTGTTTTGTAGGCCTATTAGCATGATTAGGAACGTCGAGAATATGACTTCAGAGATTTAAAATTCACACTCGTCATCTGACAGTGACATAAACATAATATTCCCGTCTGTCAATCCTGTATGTCCTCAGTTTTGTTTTTATTTATTAATTTCAAGTTTCTGTAATTGTTTAGCTAAAACACAGAATAGGGTAGGCCTAACGATTTGTTTCATTTTTTTTTTACAATAAAAGCTAGGTCAAGAAAGTAGTTCTGATTGAGAATTTATCGATGTGTAAACTTTTTCTTGAATTTGTTCTTGTCCAATCAAAACACAGGAAATCAAAAAATAAAATTAAGATTGGAATTATTAAGTCATGATTTGGAATCAGAAACGATGAAACAATACTAATTATGAATATGTAGAATTTTTTTTGTTTTTGTGTCATTTTACAGAAGATATGACTTCAGACATTATTAAGTGTCTTGATTGTAAATTACAAAATTTTGACCTGTTCCGTGATCCGATTTTCGCATTTTTAAAGTCTAATTAAGTTTGAAATAAACCAAGATATTTTAAAAAATTTTTAATGCACATCATTTGAATTTACTGTTGAAATATTTATTCCAAATTGGATATAATATGACGTTAGGTAAAAAAAATTATGACGGTAGTCCACGAACTTTCCGAACAACCCTCGTATTTACATGTACACCAATTTGAACAATTTTTAATGAAAAAAAAAACAATTGACGTTAAGTATGGCGTTGGTAAATCAATAGTTTTTAAACTATTATTTTATAGAAGGAAATATTTTTGATAGAGCAAATTTTCCTAATTTCCTCATTGTCTAAAAATATACTTTCATGTTTTCAAGTATGCATATGTTCATCTACACTTGATAATAAATTTTGTAATTTGTCTGTACGCATACATGTAGTACAGTGTACTTTATGAAAAAATACATCGATTTATTGATGGTTATTCTTTGTGAAAAGTTTTTATACTATCAGTTTCAAAAACAGTTGGTAAACCAAAGAAAAAGATTTTTGATAGAGTAAGCTTTCCTAGTTTTCATATTGTCTAAAATATATTTTTATGTTTTCAAGCAGTTTGTCGTGTGTTGCAACCTTTGCAAATTTGTAAAGGGAGATAATTCAATTTTTCCAGTAATTAAAACTTGAACTTAAAGCTGAACACGACTAGTAAATAGAAATACGCCATATTAGTTTTCCTATCTCCAATATCAGCAATGGAGTATATCCTTAGGATTAGACCTGATTGCTTTCTTGTCACGAATACATGTACCTGCATGCAATGGACGACGCGTAGCCAAGATGGTAATCTTGCAGTACATTGTTAACATTTTATTGCAGTTTACTAGTGTTTGTGTTTGCTTTTACTGTTTTTACTTTCTTTTCTCTGTGATAACTCTTTGAAAGTTAGTTGACTCGATTTTTTTTATCATTCTACCGGAAATTTCATTCTACTGCAAATTTCGCCAAGCAATATGCCAGGAGCTAAGGAGGCCTTATATGTATGTAAATCTCGTGCGTACAGTCCCTGAAACGTTCTACTTTCCCACTTGAACGGTGAGCGAACGCTGAACGAACGGTGAACGAACGCTGAACGAACGCAGAGCGAACGGTGAGTGAACGATGTGTGAACGCTGAACGCAACTTGGTGAACGATGTGTGAACGGTGAACGGTGAGCGAACGCAGAACGAGAACGGAGCGCAAACGCGAACGCAAAGTGAACGGTGAACGAACGGTGAACGCAAGATGAACGATTTATTCGGAATGCCTCTGATCTTTTCCTTGCATTGAAATTATTCTATTGTATGTATGCCTGGTGCTAAAAAATAAATGAATAATAAATAAATAAACAAATCAATGAAAACTGTCCTAAGAAAGACGATACATGCACATTAAGTAAAATTATTAATTTAAGTTTCTTACAATATTTTCTGCAGATATGTACGATGTTCAAATTCAACTTTTTAATAACACGATTTTTATCGCTGTAAAACATTGTAATTGTTACCGAACGCTGTAGTAATCTAGTTGTAAAATAAATATGTTTATTCTTATTTGATATATAAAATCATTATAAATAATGTGGATTTTAGAAGAGCAAACTACGGACTTGTAGATTGAATCACAACGGTTGTAACAACCATATATCTATACATGTATATCCGTGCCAAGGCGATTCCGTGTAAAAAAAATGAGAAAAAATTTTTTTACAAAGGTATGTGAACGTATTGCATGAATACGCAAGTATTTTAAAATTTTAATGCAATAATATACTGATGTGTCAGTTTTATTTTTTATGATGATTTATTGAGCAGACTTATACATGTATCTGTAGACATTTCCCGGCCGTGATTATACTCGGACAAGATGATGCAAAGAGGCCTTCATATTATTTGTTATATATTAAATTTTCACATCTTGATATTTAAGTAATATGCTGTCATAGTTTTTATTAATTAGACAAATGAGAGAGAGAGAGAGAGAGAGAGAGAGAGAGAGAGAGATTCTGTTTTAGCCCCCCCCCCCCACTTCCTCAAATGTTTGTACCTATATCAAATAAAAATTCTTATTTTTTTTCCAAATATATCAGGCAATGAAAGTAACCATTTTTATCAACAAATCCATTTGTTTTACAGTCATAATCGGTTTTAATTTTCCTGCTTCAAGTTGACACGAAGTCCTCGTGCTTCACCTGTCAATCAAATCATTCGACACTGTGCAGGTGTGAACGTCTCGTCACACCGAAGGCAAAGTGTTAGTATTTCCAAGAAGTTTAAGTTAAACATTTTTTCTTATCATTTCTAGATCTGATTCCAACACTTCTAAAAAATAATAAATGAATAAAATACATTGGGAATAAACACCTGGAATGATTAAACCGCTTGAATTTGAAATATATTCCCTGCCAATTTAAAACATCACCACCGGCACATGTATATTTTGAATTACTATTGTTTAATGACTTTGTTTAGATGCATGCTTGTTTTGAGACTGAATTTTTTGTGCTACAAAACACATTAACTTCTTTTTAAATGTTTATTAAAATATAATGGACATACATGTACTAACTAAGTAACCGATTTAGGGGAAAGGGAGGGGGGGGGGGCTCTTAATCATATCGAATGGCAAACATATAAAGATACGGTGAAAAATATCATTACTGGAGAACCACTTTGGTTATATTAATGATAATCATGTTATAAAGGCATTTCTCTCTCTCTCTAATTAAAGACTTTATACATGTATATGTAAAGTAGAAAAAATTCTATAATGTATTACGTTTTAAACAATTTTTTTTTCAATCCACACTATCAATTTAATTCGCTCTAAAGATATTTAATTAACTGTGTTAGAAATAAATATTTTCGTATTTCTGATAATAATGATTCTTTAAACACGATATGTTAATTATTAAATTTAAAACCTGTAAATCCTTACTTAAAAAAAGATAAGTCCTTTCAGTTCGGAGTTCCGAATGGCAATAAAGATTGAACGATAAGTGAACGCTGAACGCAAGGTGAACGCAAAGTGAACGAACGAAGAGCGAACGGTGAACGCTTTGTGAACGGTGAACGCGAGCGCACGGTGAACGCTGAACGCAAAACTGTGAACGGAGAGCGAACGATGAACGCACGGTGAACGAACGGTGAACGCACGCTGAACGAACGGTGAACGAACGGTGAGCGAACGGAAAAATGGGAAAGTAGAACGTTTCAGGGACTGTATCTCTTAGCGTCTGACGCTAAGTAGGCCTAATATGCATGTAAATCTCGTGCGGCTGTCTTTGTGTTTGACGTCACTGCATGGGTAGAGACTATTAAATTGACAAGGGGGACCAAATTGACAATTTATATATATTAGTGTACATTTTTAAAATCTAAATTCGCCCGTTATGCAAATTATCCCACGTTTCCTACTATCGTTGATGCCCTGGCATACTCTACTAACTAGACAGTGATTCCTTAAATATACAGAATTTATTCTTGACGCGCACGTAATTCTTGAACGCTAGAAAGACATTCAACAAAATTCATCGACATCTCAACATCGGTATATTGTCATTTTTCATTACGGAAAAAATATTGCTTCCGTGGGAATTCTCAGATTTGATACATATTGCATGCAATTGTGAGGTATACTCAAGAAGGTCAATTACTGAAATTTAGAGCATACGTGATATGTTTCTGCAAGGAATAAAGGAAACTGCCCGATCATGTTTGCATGTTATGCCCCCACCTCCCCTTCCCCCTCAACAAGATGATATGCATCTTGATTTTTGTTAAAAATGGAACACCCAGAAGATTTGTAAAAAAAAAAAAAAATAATTTAGTGTTGCAATAGATTTTAATTTCTTTACCTTATTTTAAACTTTATATAGTAATACTGGTTCCCTTGAATACAAGATTATTGTGTTTTTTTAACGTCCCTCTTAAGAATTATTCCCTCGTATGGAGACATTGCCATTACCAGTGAAAAACTGCAAACGGCCTCTTAGGGTTTTCTATTGTTTACTTGGGTTGTGAAGGGGTAGTCATCATGCCAAACTTAAAATTTGACACGGAAAAAATACAAAAACTGAGAAAAAATATCAATAATGTTAAACAAATTATACATTTCAAGATTAAAATAACAGACATTTTGCTTATAAATATTCTAATTATTTACTTTTCACTTATGTACAAACAAATTTATTAAAGACGTAAGCGATAGGCAAACTTTTCATAGTTTTTTTTTCTGTTCTTATTTAGAATTAATCTTTAAAAAATCAAAAGGTATGTTGAAAATTATCCTCACAAATAGAATAATTAACATGAATTGGAATTAAACCCTTTGTATACATTAGGTACCTGCCGATAATTAATCACATGTTGAGCGATAATCATATAAGATACAAATTTTGTATCTCTCCTAGCATCTGGCAGATACATGTAATTCCACAGCAATGATAAATTTTGTTGATTTAATCATGCTCAAAATTACTTAGCTTGTAAAGTTGTTTATATTTTTATTACAACAGTAACCATAAAAGCTTCATTTATATTGTAATTCTGCAAGTATATATACGCACCGCGTTGTTAGATTTTGATTGGTCAATGTCTGACTCTCCAAAAACATCAAACAAAATAACCATTATCATGCACCACTATGCATTATTTATATAGAGAAAATTCAACACCACCAAAAGTTGAGTATTATTTATTTGTATGTGGCGAGTATTGTCGTGGCATTATTCGTGGGTCGCCGAACAACAAATCAACACAACATTGGCAGACCCACTTCAGCATCAACAACAAATCAATCAATCATCAATCCAATTCAGCATTCATAAACAAATTGACCACCCCGGGTAATCCGCGGACGGTTACTTAGTTAACCTTTACTAATTTACATGCACAATCTGCAATAATTATTTTAATACAAAATGCAGTTTTTATACCAGTTATCAAACCCAGTCACAAAGCAATGCAGTTCCCATCAGCACAAAATTTTAACTCGATCAGTGTCAACCATTAGTCAACAATTATTTCCCATTAATAGTACTTAGTTAAAATATCAGTTGACTTTAGTGTGCGCATACGCCACGACGCTCAGGAATGGATCCTCTTAGAATTCCTTATTTGGTCAATGTCTGACTCTCCAAAAACATGATACAAAATAACCATTATCATGCACCACTATGCATTATTTCAGACTTTAACATTTAAGGAGGATACATATTGATTACATAAATCAACTTAAAGTAAACTTAAACATTTCAATTACGGTATTGCAATTCGAACATTATAAAAAAGACCGAAATGAGTTAATTAATACGCATATTTAGAAAAATGTTTATTTACTGACCTGTGAACAATATGTATGCATAATATTAAAGGTATCATTTCGTGTGAATAATTGAACATAATAAAAACATAAATAAACATAATTTTCTGTGCAAGTTTATTTCCTTCCTTATAATTTATCGAAATAGTTTCTGAAATGCTAGATATTTTTAAGTAAGTTTTTTCCCTCTTTTTGTGTTTCAAAAATTGTTAATTAAATAAATATTTGCGGTGACTACGTTAATCCTTAGCCACCTGAAATATTATTAAAACAAAGCATCATCAATATTTTCTATCTGGTTACTTTACAACAAATTCAGATTTCAATTTCATGGTATCATGACCCTCTTTTTAGTCCACGCCTCCTTTTAAATTGTGTCTTAATTGAAAATGATTGATTGTTCAACATTGATCGTAAAAGAAAACACATCGCAAATTTCTCGCTATGCATCATCATTATCTTAGCTCATAAAAGAACACAGACAGAATTTTCATTGTAAATAGTTTAGATGACATCTAAATAGGTAGTTATTTAAGTCCATGTTTATATAGTTATATGTTTAAATAAATTAATTTGTCAGTCAACTTTCCATTCATTTTCCCTAGCTGTTTGCTTCCTCTATTAACCGTCATTTTTGTTCTTATTTTACGATTTTAATTCATCTATGATTAAACTTCAAAGATGTGTGTAAAATAGTACAAGAAAAATAGCCTCGCATATTCTCATGAATAGTTCAGAATAAGTCAAGGATAAGTTTAAACTCGTTTAAGCTAATAATCCCCATAACATCCGGGTTTTTTTCTGCGTGGACTTATCGATCTCTGAAATCGTTCCGTATCATTGAACACATCCTATATAGATACATGACTTGACCTCGATCTCACAACAGCGATCAAATATAAAGTTCTGCATTTAATTATGACTTTTAAAATTTGTTTCGTGTGAGTGAGGATTGAATCTGTGACGGATATAACCGCAAAAAGAGTTTCTTTAAAACAGCATCACAAAGTATGAAATGAGAAAGAGAAATGCTCGTAAATCCAAAATGTAAAAATGGCGGAAGTATTGCATAAACATATAGTTTAAAAATACCCGTGACATCACAACAAGGTTGTTGAAAGGAGGCGCGGATCAAAATTTACGGTAGGTTTAGTACAATGTCCTGTATTAAATGAACGTAAAATCAAATACCGGTATATATAAAGAAAATAGATTATGCATTCTTACAACATTGTAGTTTTTGCTTGATAGTCCTTACAAAAATATACAATGCTTATTTTTTAAAAATTAGTTTAGGTTTATTCGCAGCAAATTAAAAAAATCATTCTGCAATCAACAAGAAGATTTGTACTAATTACATGTATTGTAAATGTTACAGTAAATATGTGAATTAAATCAGGAATTTCAACCATTCAGTAAATGCATGTATTTACTGCCTATATTAGGAATGTTGTTTCTGGTAAGACTAGAATAAAAATGGAACTCGTATTCATTGTTCATTTGCAAAATTATTTAGTTAAAAACCTGATGACTGTTCACACAAGTACTCCGAAGTTGATACTAAAAAGATGGTCAAGTTTCTGATTGACAATATCTATTTTGGAGGAGTAAATTTCCCCAAAAGTTATTTGCTTTATGACATCAATAGTTATACAAAAGTGCGTAATGTACACGTTTAATCTTATTGGCAGTTGAACAGTTTGAACTTCCAATAAATAATAAAAAGATATGTAAATTGTTTACAATGTAATAAATACAAGTATGTACTTGAAATCAAAGTTCAATTATCATTCATCATGTTTAGATTCGAAGGGGTAGGATGCATGTTTATGGAAAAAATTCCAGGGATCAGCAAATGTAAAGTATTGTTGTCAGCATGTTTGGCTTAGTGTCGTTCACGGAGAATAGCAGAAACGGTCGTACTTCGTCACGAAGTGGTATGGCATCATTTTAGCATAATGACTTACAATAAACTCAAGACATTTTCTTATTACTGGGTTGAATTAGACATTCCCATGCGCATCACTTCTTAAAGTTTATTTTGTAGTTCCACTAAAAGCAGTTGAAATCCAAGTGTCAATCCATGGGTTTATTGCTAACGTTAAGTCAGTACTCCATTACATAAACGACAGTGACAATAACACAGAGACAGAGTTTGTTTTTCCATTGCACACTGACTCAGCAGTTTATAAGTTTGAGGCCGAAATAGACGAGAGGACTATAGTAGCAGAGGTCTGCGACAAGTCACAGGTACATGTACATGTAGTAACCCTAACCCAGCGATACATGTATCTAGCATTCAGTCGCCTAAATGTGCATAATGAGACAATCTTAAACACATAATACCAGACAATATTACTTCATATAATACACTGATCATTTATTTATTATATTTACAATAAATCACTCTACTTTTTGTTCCATAAAAGGCGAAAGTGATATACCAAGATGCTGTCCATTCGGGTTATACCGCCATGTACATGGCAGAAGATGATGAAGCTGGCGACGTCTTTCGTTTAAGACTTGGGAATCTTCCAGCCAAGACAGCAGCCAAGCTGACGTTTGCTTATGTACAAGAGCTGGAGTTAAACGCTGATCAAACCGGAACTTTTATGCTTCCAACTGTCCTCAACCCACGATACCGGACTGTAGTAAGTTTTTGAATGATGCTCTTGTTTGTCGAAACAATGCTTACATAAGGCAATTGTCATAGTATTATTGTATATAAAGAGGGAATAAGTGGAAATATGTTATGTTTTTTGTTGATAAGATTTATTTTTTCAGCACCAACAGAAGGATCAAATGGAGAGGAATCGCAAGAAGAGGATACAGAACCGGTTATATTTCAGTCTGATGTTGATGTAGCATATTATTCCGATTTTTCAATTAAATTAAATGCTGAAATTGTTGGAGGGGAAAATATGAAAGTGTTTGAAAACAAAATGGAATTCGACATGTATACTGAGGCAACGGAGAAGGTGGCATTGTTTATGACGGAATAAAATTTATTTTATTTTCATTCTCCAAAATTTTTTTTAAAAAATCTAATGGAAAAATTTAAATTGAGTATAAAAAAAGGAATATTCAAATCATAGGTAAGGATATATAAAAAAGAAGAAAAATATTGGGAAACTATTATAGAAAATAGTAAATCAATGCAATTAAATACATTTATATATACAGATGACATCAACAAAACAACTGAAGCATGGATCTAACTTTTTACTGCTCTTAAATTACAAAGGATTCAATAGTCCAAGAGCAATCATTGAGAAGGGCAACAAAGATGACCAAAGTTAGAACTTTATACATTTACTCTCTTTAGCCAAGACATTAAAGTTATGTGTCCGTTGATCACACTTGAAGTATAATTTTATGAAACTTACTAAAAGTGTTGTACATTAGAGTGAACTAACTTTGTTTGCAATTTCCAAATCAATATCGAATGTTACAGCGAAGCATATGTTATTAATTTCGAATTCAATAATCAAATTAACATCTATGCCTAAATGAAATGCTATACTTTTTATGGTATTGCGTAAAACTAAAATGTCCAAAGCATATGAATGATTAGAAAATAATTCAGATGTTGTTAAGTTTTTGTGCAGTCCCAAAAACTTTACTCAAAAATGAGACATGACAGTGTTTGATGCTATTGTAATGACATTGTCAAGACATTTTATTAACCTTGGTTGAAAGAAATAAAATAAATTGTGCATCATATCTCTGAAATGTTTCCTTGCCGAACTACAAAAGAGGTGTGGCAATTCTTTAGTAAATTTTGTAGCATGATTTTATATAATACAACCACATCTGAAATACCATAATTTTGGTTAAAAAATCGAATAGTTATAACACTTAGTTTTCGACTAAGGAAAAACAACTTACTCTTTAAGAATTCAAAGTTCAGAGTGATTCTAAGACTACAGTAAAAAAAATTAAATCTAATTTACTTGCATAGAAATATACAAGTTACCTGAGTTCCAAGATAACGAACACACGCTGATAATGAAAGTATTTATATAAGATATTTTGTCAGGTTGCATTTGCATAAAAACAAAAATAAGAACTGAAAATTTGGGGGAGGGGGGACTGCTCCCTGTGCAATATAAGAATGTTTACATTTATTACATTTTCAACAGTGAAATACTGTATTTTATTTATTGAATAAAAACGATATTCTGACACAGTGTGAAAGGATATCAAAATGCTATTCTCACAGTGAGAATAACACAAGTGCGGCAAAACTCTCGATTTTCCTTCCCTTTACAAAGATTTTGTTATAAAATAGAGATAGTAAATGAACCGTCCTGATGGAGACTAAATCTGCCAAAGTTTCTTCAAATATGTTAAAAATCGATGTTTATAACGATTTTCAATCCCTGTATCGCTTAGGTATGACGTCTCAACCGCTCAACTAAGACGCCACAGACTATGACACTGTGCTACGAAAAGACATAGGCAAAGGAAAAATAAAAAAAAGTAATCAACAGAAAAGTCAATGATTTGTAAATGAATATGGAATTTATTTCACACGTGAGACAGGATTTTTTGAAATTTTGCTTCGCACTCGTGAAATTATAAAAATAACCTGACCCACTCGTGAAATAAATTCCATCATATTCATCTACAAAACATTGAATATCCTTTATGTATATCATGATCTTTGTTATTCACAGATGCATTTATGTCATCAGATGTTTTGATGCTCAATTTCTCACCAGAATTCAAAGAACTAGAAACAGAAATACCATGTGAATTTGTCTTTGTTATTGATCGATCAGGTAAGGAACGTGAATATACTAGTATTACAGAAAATTTAAAGTTTATTGTACTTAAGCCATAGATTTTTTTTTTAATTTAATTTTTTTTCTCAGATAAACATATAAAGTGTAAAATCAATGTATCAGTCAAACAATCTTTTCCATAATATTTTTGGCTATTTTAGCATGAACTAAAACCTTTGGAGAATTGTTCATCATTTACTTCATTTACTTTTTGTCATTTTTTTTTCAGGCTCAATGGGCGGGGATCGTATGAAAAAAGCAAAAGAAGCTTTATTGCTGCTCTTGAAATCTCTCCCTGTTGACTGTTTATTTAACGTCGTCAGTTTTGGATCCGACTTTTCATTTTTATTTGCAAAGTATGCAATTTTTACTGGATTATAAAGTTCTATATAAAAAATAACAATTTAGAGGAATCAAAAATCAAAATTATACCAAAAAAAACAAAAAAAAACAAACTTTTTATTAGATGTTTCTGTAATCGTGAACATAACAGTGCAGGTAATTTACAATACATGTACCGGTATGTGATTTCAGGAGTAAGCAGTACAATGAGGAGAACCTTGAAGAAGCTTTAAATCTGCAAAAGAAAATGGATGCAAATATGGGAGGAACAGAGATTTTTAAGCCTCTTGAACGTGTCTTTAGAAGTAAACCAATAGATTCGTATGCAAGACAGGTAAGTTAGATGCTAAATGTTATCCAAACTATAAAGCTTGGAAAAATGGTTTTGATAAACCAATGTTAATAAATTCTTTTTAACAGAATATATTGCTAGAGGGACAAAGAAATGAAAATTCATTCATATTCTTTTTAAAATACGCTGTGGCAGGCTTCGTTTTAAATTTGTTTGTTTGACGTCCTTCGAGAATTTTTCTCTTATATTGAGCTTGCAAGTGGAGTGCTTCAAATTTTGACCTGTATTTGGCACTTACGGCCTTTGCGCATTGAGGGGTCTTTGCGTGCCAGAACCTACTGCTACGCGTGACCTAGGTTTATATGATCTTATCCGAAAGACCGGTCTTTACATAATACAGTGGGATTCGAACTTGCGACGTAAGGATCAACTCCTTACTACGCACCTCTGCTGTGCCACGCTGGCGACTTGAATTTTATAAATGTATATGTATGATTATGTGCATTAATTAATGCTTACACGTTTTAAGAATCGTTTCTCTCAATGGTGGATAGCATTGCTATCAATAAATGACAGGATTTGTATAATACATAGATATTATATGATTAGTGCTTAATATGATTGTTGATTAAGAATACAATAATTATTGAATTCAGCATTTCACTAATGCAACATTTCTTAAGTTATACATGTATTATTATTTGATATCTTTAGGGATAACTGCATTCATTGCTTTAGTGTTGAGAATTATCTTTAAATTTTAGACTTTAATCTTTTCTGAAATAAGAACAATTTTTATAATCTTACATAATTATATTTATTTGATTTAATTATAAGGAATACATGTATGACAAAAAAAAAGCCAAATCGTTTAGAGATCGACCTTAGCCTTTACATGTATAACACAAGGTGAAACTTGATGTTTATACAAACAGTGCGAGTCCTTGCCATGGCGTACATGTATATCTATATTATCTAACGAAAATATTTTTCCCCTTAAAACTGTATCTTCAATTACTTTTAGATATTTTTGCTAACAGATGGAGAAGTTAGCAATGTTTCAAAAATCGTTGACCTGGTAAGGAGACAGAAAAATACAAGGTATTTTGATAAATGAATGAGTTACAAATACTTATTTTATCCCATGTTTACCCCTTTATCCCGTGGATATGACTCATTGGATAATTTTTTCATAATCCACAGTTGTGACGTCACAATGGTTTTTGCGTTAGCGCGATGAAGTAAAATAAAGTGGAGTCCTATATAAAACAGTGTAAAACATTGGTTGTGAAGTATTAAACATGGGATAAAAAGAATCTCCCATGATTTGAAGTTGGATATGACTTTTATCCAACTCGTTGTGTGTTTTTATCCCCTCGCCAAGGCTCGGGGATAAAAAACACACAACTCGTTGGATAAAAATCATATCCAACTACAAATCATGGGAGATCCTATATATATATTATAGACATGTTTGTGTATATAATTTATCAACCCTTAAATCTTTTACAAGCAAGTAAGAAATATTGTACATGAGAGTTAAATATTAGTTTTTTGACTGTACAATATTATCAGGACAACCCAATAACAAGATTAAAACAAATAAATACATAAAAAGAATTTTTTTTCAAGGCCACGGGGATGTTATCTTCAATCTTTCGGTTTAAAGTAAATGTGCAATTTGGCAGGGTTTTTACGTTTGGTATTGGATACGGTTGCTCAACAGAACTTGTTAAAGAGGTGGCAAGAGCTAGTCAAGGAAAAGCAACTTTTGTTACAGATAATGACAGACTGCAGTCTGAGGTAAGAGAGACTTTAAGGCGACAAGTAGTTCTTTTTCGTCAACATCAAGCATACTTCGAATCCATGTTGTTCTATACCTTGTACATACCTTGTACATGTTATGATAAAAAATAGTTCACTCTCGTCCTTAAAATGAAAGAAAGTAGATTCTCAATTTTTGTGATTAAAAACATGAAAAACATTTATGAGACACAATAAAATTCTATACAAAGCTAGTAATTTGATTCATATTTTAAAAAAAAAACTTAATAGACAAATCCACATTCTATAAAACCCTTCCTTTGTATTATTCAATTACATTAAGCGAAATGCCTCATGTAAATAAAAAATTCCAAAATGATCTTTCTGTTAGGTTATTTCTGCTCTGAAATGCAGTCTACAAAGTGCAATTACCGATGTGTCATTAACTTGGAACCTTCCAAAAAATTGCTTAGTCATCAATTCCCCAGGAGAAGTCCCCGTTGTTTTCCATGGAGAGAAACTCATTTTGTATGCAATTATTTCAGGAGAAATACCAGAGGTAAATACATTCCAGAACCAGAGTCACTTCATTAAGGGAATTAAATTCTGAGCGAGAAAGATGTGGATGCATGTTTAATATAATTAGATAAGAAATTATTTACTTACTACCCGTTAGACTGTATAGCCAGGGATAAGACAGTAAAAGAAAACCCCAGCAAATAACTGCAAACTGCTTCAACCTAGGTTTTAGAAATACACGTTTGTTTGCTATTAGATTAATTGCTTATCATTCAATTTTTATCAGTAAGTGATAAAAATTAGACAGTTTCCCTTCAAATATGACTTATACAATTATGTGTTAATAAGATTAAGTGTAATGTAAAGCAGATACTTTTTTAAAGTCATATTGTGACGTAGGCAACACAGGTTATACGATATAAATTAAATTTCTATCCAATCTATCTGTGCATTACAACTAGAATCCAGTAAGGAGGAAATACCTTTAATTCTGTATATACCAGTCTACGAAAAGACGTTGAAAAAAACCGAAAAATTTGAATTACATTGTATGTTGTCATTCTATGGCAGGGTGATTTCGGTGGAACTTCTTTGAAGATGGTTGGGAAAGCTGGTGAGAACTCCGTTGAGTTTTCAGTAGACTTTGATATGAATCTTAGCAGATCAAGAGACACTATTGATAATTCCTATCCGCTTCACAGACTTGCTGCTAAGACCAAATTGTCAGAGATGGAGATGAACAGAAGTGACAGTAAGGCATCTCTAATCAATAAAATGTTTATACTGAAGTAAGAATATAGCAAATAGTATTCAAGCACCATTGTCCATTGAAACAATGAAAATTGTGAGCAAGGCAAACACGATCCTCTTAAAAACATCAGAGGTGGGATCAGGTGCCATGGAGAAGTAAGCACCCCCTGTCGACTGGGCAAACCCGCCAAATGCTCCTTGCTAGATCGGGTATAAGTAAAAATTGGTACATTGCGTTTGCTAACAAGGTCATTGTATTAATTATAGAATGATTGTAATGAGTGTGGTTAAAATGAAATATGGAGATAACGAACAGTAATCAACCTCAAAAGTCTATTGAGACAAAACAAATTGGGAGCAGAGCAAACACTGACCTCGATAAAAACCCATCAGAGATGGGATCAGGTGGCATGGAGGAATAAGCGTCCTCTTTGCTCATTGTCATGATTTTGCAAAGGGAGAAATCCGTAGATAATTCAGTGTTTAAGTAATGGCCTAACAATCAGTATGGAAAGTAACGAAATGTTTACCTTAAACGAAATCTTTGTATCATTACCTTATTATCTGTAGCTTACCTCGTATTTAGAAATTGTTTGTATGTAGAATATGATCTTGTGTTACTTATCGACTGGGTGACGTAAAAAGGTGATAATCGTATATTGGTACATAAATGAAAGAATTGGTGAAATGGTGTAGTCATCACATTCATCACAAAGTTTAGTTGTTAGTTTGCTATCAATATCTTTTACAAGTAAAACAACTAAATATGAAGCATATGTGTCAGACTCTGTGGTGTCTTTTATTTCAAGTTCAAAGGAATATATCGAATCAATGTAGAATTTGAAAATACATATCGTAATTTGAGGAAATTAATTATATTTTTTTTATGCATCTATCATAATTTTGGTAAAATGTAAAAAATGTTAAGCGTTCATTGATAAATGACTAGATAATGATTGTGTCCTATACATATAGAGGTAATTTTTTTTACCTTCGAAATATGGAGCTGTAATGTTCATTTATTTACTTAGATTTTACCGTTCGCATTCCACGTCTCTGGTTATGTTATTAAGAAATATAAATATGGCTTCAAAATTGTAATTGGACCATAAAGATAAAACATGATTCATAAATTTGCTTTTTACAGAAAACAAATCTTTATGCCACCATTGTAGAGGATTATATACATTCACACCTGATTTTTTATCCTAATCATACTATGAATAAATGTTTGAAAACAAAAAAAAATTATTTTACAAGTTTCTTCAAACACAATGTACTAAAATTATAAAATACATCAAGTTAGAACATTAAGAATAGGCCACGTCCTCCAATATCACTACTTGCAATTTAAATTCCTTTTGTACAAGTTTGAGGTAACTTATGGTTTCCGAATAAAATGATGTACCTGTATGACCTACCGTATAAAAAGTATTTTGATAATTCGTTTTAAAAAGAATGAGAAACTAACATTTCAAAAAGAAAGAATTTACGTTTGACCGTTTTATTTCGAATAACCTTACATGAAATATTGACTTAAGAGAGCTAGAACAGCTTATGATGGAAAATCTGCTTACTTCGACAGAAGTTAAAGTTAATAGTCTGATTAATAACACCATTTCTTTCATTTTTTATACTAGAGAACATAATAGTAGCACTAAGCACGGCGCTTAATGTTACGTGCAAATATACAGCGTTTATTGGCGTTAACAAAACTAGAAGAGAATCTGAATCAACAGAGAAAAACACAGATACTTCATGTGAAACTGAGGTCCCTGGATCATTGGAAGATGATTCGTTTGACCTGAGTGACCTTGATATGCCAAAGGCAAAATCTAGCACTATGCCAGGAATTGGGAGAAGATTTGCAAACTTCTGTGCAAGTAAGCATGAATAATGGTATTTGTTTTCGAAAAAACGAATATTTTAAGTTTTTCTTTTAAAAATGTCTAAAACATTTCAAATCATTTGTTAGGTCTTCTACCATCGAGATCAAAGAAATCAATTAGCAGAAACTCATCACAATCCCATAGAAATAAGAGAACGTTTCACTGTTTATCATCTCGTCCATATGAACTAAAGTGCAGTGGACTTTTTGGTCGGTTTGTATGAAAGACGAACAGTAAACAGTATTTAATCTTGAGAAAAAGTGACGAAACAATTAGCTTATTTTAAACCCTCAGAATCACCCCCCCCCCCCCTCGATTTGAAAAATGATCGACATTGATAATTTTCTTAGGTTCATATTAAAAAAATTATGTGCTATTTTTTTTCTTTTTGATTACATCATATAAACAGAAGGAACAAAGCAGACTAGGAGTGTCTGATATTCCATTTATTTAAAGTCAAAGCAGAAGAGAATTTATTTCCATTACGTATACCTATCTAGACATGGGACACATACATACTATAACAGTGACGACTTTTAACTATTGACTTTGTGAGACTGTAAAAATGTTTTGATTTATTTACCAGTCATTAAGATGTACAAGACGTTAAACTTCACTTGGCTGCAATAGGGAATCTTATACGACATATTAGATAAAACTGAACATTTACAATCTAGTCTCTTTTATAGCTGCAAGTGACACCAAAAAATCTTTAATGTATCAAGGTCCAAAAAAATCAGTGTGGATGTCAACGGATAATTATATATTTGATTTTTTCTTTAGAAAAAAATCAAATATATAATTATCCGTTGACATCCAACGGATAATAACAGTATTTATACTGTCAATTTAAATTATTATTCGACAATATTCTTAATAAGTAGACAACATGGCTCCTGTTCACACCTGTTGCGTTGCTTATAGTATCGCAATAAGCTGTGTGATGTGTCTGAACGATAAATAAAGGTAGAATACAATCTTTTTTTGCAATAATCTAGAAAGCTTCAACAAATATAGACGTTAAGCATTGAAACTACCGACTCGGTGTAAAGTTTGAATAAAACAGACGTAAGATGCAGGATTTATTTTGATTTTGTGACACATGTTCTTATATTTTGGATTTGGATACAGTCAAACGCTTATGCTCTGTAGACATATGTGAAAAAAGAGAGGTGCTACTCAGACGATTGTTTTTCTAACTAAGTCAGAGACATCTTTATAAACTTGCCTCCTTATCTTATACTGAAAGATGGCAAAATTTATCATTTTAGCTTCAAAAGAATGAAAAGTATGTTGTGAACTACATTGTTAAATAAATAACAGCGCAGAAAGTGAAAAAATATATCATTAAAAATTATAAACGAATAATATTTGAACAAGTTGAACATTTTTTAAATCAACAATACATGTATATATAATAGAAATAATAACTGTACATTTATTAAGGAGAAACTATTTGAAATATAGGATAAGATTAAAAACATCCTTTATTTTTTTAGATGACCTTTCTGGACACGTAGTACCCGACTCTTTGGATGTCATGTGTTCTGCAAGCTTGTCGGATGATTTACCGGGTATATTTCTTTGCTGAACATACACAAAAAGCACGAAACACTCTTCTATCGTATCCCAAGGCTAAGGTTATTAAAAAGATGGCAAAATATTTCTTGAGATTTCAAAACAAACTAATTCAATAGACCAGCATTTTTCCTATAATAACAGTAATTTTTACATATGAGCTGATATGCTGAAACAAAGTTTTGGACAAGAATTTTTTTTCATTTTCAAAACCAGTGCAATGATAAATAAATAATGTTTGAATTTCTCTTACAAATCAAGTGAGTAGGTATAGTACACCTCATGCTATTTTCATTTTAGATGAAACTGACGAAGAGGACTGTGCAAGTCTAAGTGATTTAAGAAGAGATTTAATAAGTGGTACATTTGTGCTTATGTATCGCAACAAATCAAGCATCAATCTTTGAAGATAATTTTTACTGCAACTATTATTAATATGTAAATGTTACTAATAATAAAAAAAACTTTGTTTTTTGTATTTCAGATATAAAATAGAAGTTATAACTTCATGCTTTAAAAATCTTTCATCTTATATAAATATATATATATATATATATATATATATATATATATATATATATATATATATATATATATATATATATATATATAAATATATTCAAATGTTTCTTCAGATATTGAAAAATGAATATAACCTGTTCTATTCAGATAATGCTCCTTCAAAAATGATACAATTAATTGAAAGACAGAAATTTAATGGATCCTGGTCACTTGATGAAAGCTTATCAAAAATCCTAAATAAACCATTTGATGAAATGAAAGATTCAAGTGTCATCAAGGTATTTGTATGTTCTAAAAGGTACAAAGCTTTTTTCAGTACCTAAAAATGATGGAAAAAATAGCTGTACACAATATGTGTAAATCTGTGCCCTCATTAAAGTCAAATTTTGAAATATTTCTTAAAATATGCTGCACTGTAAATGCTTTATAAAAATATTGTGACTTAAAATGTGTTTTAATTAAAAATGCATTGTAAAAAATTTATTTGTCCTTGGAAAACAAAAGATAGACAAAAACTTTATTGTGTATAAAATGTTTCATATGTTTTTATAAACGATTGTAAATTATCATTAGAGATCTCAAATGCTTCATGTTAAATACATGATTTAACTTTACCAACATTTACTGAATATTTTTGAATTAAACTGGCAATATCTTAATATTTTTTGTAGGACACTGATGTTTGGGCTACAGCTCTTGCAATTGCATTTTTAAGAAAAGAGTTTTCAGCTCAAAGAAGCGAATGGGAGATGATAGAACAGAAAGCAATGAAATTGTTAAAAACTAAAGATGTGGAGGGCAAAGATATCGTACATGAAGCTTTGATATTTTTGTCTGCTTAACATTGCATTCATTTTGTATATTGTCAATGATGCAACAATGATTTAAGCTGACATGAAAAAAAAATCCTATAAATATTTTCTGTTGGTGTCGGAAATAAATGTTCAGATCAGAGCTATTTCCAATTTACTTACTGTTCTACTGACAGCAAATTTAGCATGGAAGATGTAACCCGATATGTAAGATCCAGCATTGACACGAAGCCATTATCTACGGTTTCTGGAATAATTATTTAGCTCAAATGATCAGAATGCTCATGTAAATTTTCTTATTAAAGTTTTCAGTTTACACCATCTCTGTTACCTTTTCACGTTTTTTTTAAATTTTTTTGTCCAGAACAAATAGGCAAATTTAAACATGTTTTGGCAAAGTCAATATTAAGATGTTTACATAATGGACTAATTTTCCAATAGGAGATGCATTACTAGCAAGAATAACTTGCAAGAAGTAACGGGAACGCATAAAGTCAATGCAGTATAAACACATGGGTCTTCGTATCTCGAATGTCTTCGAATTATAGTAAAGTCCTTTGAATATGAACCAAATTGGTCTTGTATGTATAGAATATCACTTCCCATATCATGAGAATACTGTTAGTGACTCTGTCCGTCTGTACCTCCAGGATGAAGTTTTCGGCAAAAATATTTAATTTATTACGAAGACCATACACTTTGACTATAGAAAGAATCTGGCCACTATCTTTGGTTAATGATGTTATCAAGAAACTATAGTGTTCCAAGGAACGCATGTGTCGCCTGCTTTGTAGCTTCATTAAAGAAGTAAAGAATCCAAGAGTGGTCAGCTTTTTATTTACTATTAGCATGATAATTCATGCATTTGCCTGCAAAGAAAAAATGGCATCCATGGATAGTATAAGCCTGCGGTAGAATCTGACATCCAAGTAAATATGATTTCCCAACCCTCAAATGAATAATTTGATTGAAATTATCAGAAATAACTATTTATTATTTTATTAATACGTGTTTCCAACAATTTTCCAAAAGAGATTTCAGTCACTTTACTGCAATTGTCAGTCTACTCGATCCATTGTTAAATACCGATCCCTATGTATTTTCATTGTATTCAAATATAAATTTGTGTACAGTATCATGAGTTCATAAACATGTATGAATGATATTTATCAAAATCCTGCCTCTCAAAATTCAAAAGGAATAAGTTCAATTAAACTGGCCGGGGTATTTTTGCAAGGTAGGTCAAAGGTCAAGTGGATTGTAATGCTGATATTTTTCAAAATGTCTTACGAAAAACAGTGCACATGCTAAATAGCATATACTAAATTCTTAAATGTCAAAAATATGCTGTACATCGGCACTATTACATGTAACTATTTTGAAAAGTAGGTCAAAAGTCAAGGTCAAATATCAGGAGGTCAATAACCATGGTAATTTACAAAAGCCATAGTGCCAAGCAATATATGTGCAAAATATCAAAACCATACCTCTTACAGTTCTCGAAATATAGGGTGAGATAAACGGAAAGACAGACAGACAGATAGACAGACGCCGGGTAAAGTGATCCCTAAGGTCGCTCTGCTGTGCAGGCGACACAAAAATTCAGTGATGATAATTTGTGAATTATTCTCTTACATAAGCCAAAAAATTGAATACGTTTACGCTTATTCTTGGAGAGGATATTTAAATCCAACCTCGATCTCGTTATGTTGATCAATATCTATGTTTAGCAACAACCGCCATTGTTAATTTACTTTGTGACAGACATGGCTGCATAAACAGGAGTTAAATTCTGTTCAAAATAGCTTGACATAGTTACAAAGTCTCCTGTGGAAGAAGAGTTTTTGTAATTCGGAAATCCCTCACTTTCAAGCAGGCGAAAGTATGACATGAACAATTATAATATCAGTATCTTATGGTTAATTACCTGTGACACCTGACACTATACGCGGTTGTTGAAAGGAGGCGCGGATCAAAACTATAAGGTATGTTCAAGTTTTAGTTATGAATATCGTTTGAATACATGCACTATATGAATAGTTTATAAATTCGTCCGAGAGGGATGTTTTTGCTTATTTATAATATAAAATATATTTACGCACTATTTATTGTTTTAAAATGAATATTTTGTTAAAAGTAGATAAAGGAAATTCACCCGAATTGTAATAAAATTATATAAATAAAAATCAACACGAAAATATGAATTGTAAACGTTGAAGGTATAAATTTTGTATGCTGAGTGTCCTGTACATTTCTAAAACACACTAGCAAGTATTTATTATATGATTTTCAATGCTGAACAGAAAGTACAACAGAATCACATTTCCCCTGTTTTAAAAAGATGAAATACATTTAGAATAGTTAAGAATTACTAGACCATTTGTTTATGTTTGTTTACTCCTCGGAATCTATTAAATATAACATGTACTTTGATTACAACATATACTTTGAATATCATCTTCAAGAAATTTATTTTTACAAATATTCATAACCACAAAAATCAATAAATAGTTAAATGAATATATTAATAAAATAAAACAAAACAAACAAACAACCAAAAACAAAACAAAACAAACAAACACCATCACTACCAAATATATAAATTAAAAAAGCCAAAAAAAAAAAAAAAGAAAAAAAAGAAAGAAATTTAGGTACTAATAGAAAAAGAAATAAAAAAAATCATTTTATCCGTTTAAAACATTAAATTTCATACCTCCATATGTACTGAAAATACTCTGAAGTGCAATTGTGAGTATCAAAAGAGTGTAAAAGAGATATTGAAAAGGATGAGAATAGATTGAAATTCGCAGTTTAGTACTCTCTCTCTCTCTCGTGTAGAATTGTCTCTAAGCGGTGAAATCCAATAAAGCGTATGTTACAGAGGTAAACAAAAGCACGTGTACTACCTGCAACGGGTAGAATCATCTACACAGCAAGAAAGAAAAGTGATAATGGCTTTTTTGTACATTGTATTCAGGGGACAAAGAGCCTACAGGACGTCATTTACCATACTCAGTACGCTGGGAAGGGCAAAGATGTGACATATGCTGAAAGGTAGACCGACTGAGGTTGTATGAAGGAAGCAGCATTTAGTAACTACAAATAAAAAATAAAATAGATCCATGCCAATATTTTTATTACAATGTGTTTCAATCAATACAGTCATTTACATGATATAATAATCAACCATTTGACTCTCTTGACCATTATGAATAATATGTAATTATAGCTGTTAAGGGAAGTAACTCAAAAATAAAGATCGATGCCGGTATATCCTTGTCTTGTTTTTAATTATACATTTTCAGCTAAAATATCTAGAAGTCATATGAAAAATAAAGATATAATAATGCATATAATACAAAAACTATATGAAATAAGTGGGTTTTGGAGAAATTTTATGGTAAAAAAATTATTTTATCAACATTTTACGTAGGAAATGCACTGAGAATTGCAAAAACACTGATTTGACAAAATCTAAAAAAGAAGGCATTCTTGGTAGGTTAAACAATTCAGAATATAGCCTGTTTAGTATAATTAAAACTTCTCAAGAGTTCTTGAAAAATAATATACAATAACCAGGAACCTTATCAATGTCCTTAAATGTAAAGAAATGATGTACACTGTTTAATTTGAACTGAGTTTTTAAATATTAAATAAAGCAAGTAATCATATTTAACACCAGATCCGTGTCAGGTTTAGATTTGATTTTTTTTTTTTTTTTCAGAATTAAAAACTAATTTGTAATTTTATTTATTCCATTGTCATTGTTTCAGGCATCAGATTTTGAAATACTTTTGTCAGCATGAACACCCAAAGATTTGGCTTAGTGTCGTTCACGGGGAACACAACATACGATCGTAATTATCGAAGTGGTATGTGTGTAGATAGAGACTTCTCTTTTTTGTTTCATAAGTTACAAATACATACATGATTATTTTTATTTCTATTTTTATGATGGCAATAAGAAGACTGTCATTACGTATTTAACATTATCATTCATAAATAACGGATTAAATTTCGTAATGGGTTAATACATGCATGAAATACGAGATTTCTGAAAACAACAGTTTATTTATATATATATTGTATTCTTATAGTTCCAATAAAGAGAGCTGAGATCCAAATATCAATCGCTGGATTTATTGCTAACGTTCAATCGGTTCTCCATTACATTAATGACTGTGACAATAACGTTGAGATAGAGTTTGTGTTTCCATTGGACACTAATGCAGCGGTTTACAAGTTTGAAGCTGAGATAGACGACAGGAAAATAGTAGGAGAGGTTTATGACAAATTACAGGTATTATCTGAGACAAAATACGGGGAGTATTCCAAACTCGACGTTATCTTGTAAACAGCATGTTCAGTATAACGAGAAAATCTAGATAAACCATCAAATATTTAAAACTAATTAAATAATAAAACATTTGCTCCGCTGACCGTTTTATGGGAAAAAAAAACTTTTCAATAACTACCTACATGTACTATTTTTGTTCCATAAAAGGGGAAAGTTATATACCAAGATGCAGTACATTCGGGTTATACAGCCATGTACATGGCGGAGGATGATGGCGCCGGTGATATCTTTCGTTTAAGACTTGGGAATCTTCCTTCCAAGACGACGGCAAAGTTAACGTTTGCATATGTACAAGAGCTGGACTTGAACGCTGATCAAACCGGAACCTTTGTTCTTCCAACTGTCCTCAATCCACGATATGCACCTGATTGTAGTATGTATTTTATTATTGTAAATAATACATTAACGAGGTTCGTTTCTGAAGTTTTGAGCTGATTTTTGTCTTGACTTCTATTTAAAAAAATATGCTTAATGTTTTAGTTCTTAAAATAAATTTGGATTCTACAATGCACTATATTCAATTAAAACCCAATGATTACATTCCATACCAAAAACATTAAGAGAGGAACTATATTTTGTGGTGGAAGGTTTTTTTTTTAAGAAGAAAATGATCATTTTTTCTCCTTTAAAGTATTGTTGAATTTGGATTCTTTTTTTTCCATGCAGTCTGCACACAGAGTTATTTTGTGCAGTGAACTGTTTTTTACTGGTCTTAAATTACATATTAAATCAACTGTCATGAATTCTATCATCATATTTGACAAATATAGCAAATATTTTGTGAATCTCCAGGGAAAAAATAGCCCGAATTTAAGCTTAAAATTAACACTTTCTTAGTAATATCTGAAAATTGACATCTTAAAATATATTAATATCTTTAAAACACAGACAACAACTGTTGATTTTCTTTTCTGAAGATATATGATAATTTTAACCATTCTGCTTAAATTCAGTTAAATGACATTACTTTAAAACAATTTTATCGGTTGTTAAATTTTTAATGTCAAAGAAATGACATTTTTGAGTGCAGAAAGGTCAAATAATTGACCATGCAAAGTAATTTGAAACTTCTTTGTTGTCACAAATTTTGATGAGTCTATTCAAGATGAAATGAGACTGTGTTTGTTTTGATAATTTATTTGAATAAAAAATATTGGATAAAAAAATTTGAAAAATTGATTTACATGTATGCGTAAGACGTAATTACAGTGCAAAAAGATTTTATTAAATGCTCCTTTGCGCCAAAAGAAGCGCATTAACCCCCATATTGTGTTTTGAATTTTAATTGAGCTATATGTGTAGATTCTAAAAATATACATGATTAAAAATACTTTTGATAGCAGGACCCAACCTCCTTAAGCTTTAAAATCGTGGCCAAAGTAATATTGCATAAAAATCTATACTGATTACATTCTCCTTTACTTCTTATGAAAAACTTTTATCATTAATCCATTAGTACTTAACTTCATTTGCAGTAAGAAACAGTTTTTAAAGCCATTTGATTGAAATTGGCTCTTCCATCAATGTAACATGCGGGCCAGTAGTACAATAATTTGTGCATGTTCACCCACTTTATACAAATAACCTAATATACAAATATATTTATACATCATTATACACCATATATATTTTATCCTTCTTTCTTTGTAAATGAAGAGACTGGTTGGGAACATTGCCCAAAAAAATACTTAACCAACTTATGCAGATTTTGCATTTTTCTGCAATGTCGCACTGTTATCCATGCATTAAGAAACTAACACAAAAAGCATCTAATTGTTTAAATAGTGGAAATTATTTATAACATAAATAAGTAATACATATTTTCATGCATATTAATTGCGATTTTCCTGCTTCAGCACCAACAGATGAACTAAATGTTACGGAATCACAGGAAGAGGTTACAAAGACGAGTTTACCTGAGTCCGATATTGAGATGGCATATTATTCAGACTTTTCAGTAAACCTACTCACTGAAGTTGCAGGAGGTGAAAATCTAAAAGTGCATGATAACAAAATGGAGGTGGACGTGTTTCCTGAGGCAGTGGATAAAGTGGTATTGTTTAAAATAAAATTTTATTTACTCCTTCCCTCGTGAATTATACAAGAACATTAATATTTTATTTTATTACATTTTCAGCAGTGAAATACTGTAATTTATTGACTGAATAAAAGTGATATTCTGACACAGTATGAAAGGATATCAAAAATGGTATTCTCACAGTGTGAGAATATCAGAAGTAAGGCAAAACTTAACGATTTTCCTTGAAGTTCCCTTCACGAAGAGTGTTTTTTAAAAAAAAATCTCTGGCCTGTTATAAGTTAGAGTTTATGAGTCGATCATCCTGACAGAGACTAATAGTTATACTACCAAAGTTTTTTCCGATTTTATCGTTAAAAATTCATGTTTACAACGTTTTTCAGTCTCGCAATTGCTTAGCTATAACGTCTCAACCGCTCAACTATGACGTCACAGCCTATGACACTGTGTTACGAAAAGACAAGAGGCAAAGAGAAAATCTAAGAAAATGTAATAAACAGAAAATTCAATGTTTTGTAGATGAATATGGAATTTATTTCACTCATGAGACGGTATTTTTTGATATTTTCACTCGTGCTTCTCACTCGTGAAAATATCAAAAAATCATATCCCATTCGTAAAATAAATTCCATATTCATCTACAAAACATTGAATATCCTCTTTATATTTTTTTCCATTTCTACTGGAGAAAAATATACACATTTGACATTAGGCGGGATATTAAGATTATAGGTTACAAGGATGAAAGAAGGATTATAGAAATGAAATCGAAAAAAAATATCCTAAAAAAATTGTATCAGTGAAATTAAATACTTTCTCTGCAGATGACATCGACCAAACGACTTCAACACGGATCTGACTTTTCGTTACTCTTACACTACAAAGGTTTCGAAAATCCTAGAGCAATTATTGAGAAGGGCAACAAAGATGCACAAAGTGAGAATTACATACATTAATCCCTCTACCCTATTTGTTTCCTTACTGTATTTCATAATCAAATTTTAATTATAATGTTGCATATAAACTTCTTTAAAAACTAAAAATAGTATTTTAGTTCAATGAGCAATATTATACAGTGTTTATGGTTACATACCCTACACATCTTTTTATGGTGATGCAGACATGCAAAATAGTCTTAGTTCAGGTAAAGAGAAAAAAGGTTCTGTTGTGACTAAGTTTGTGTTCTGAATCAGAAATTTGACTCTGAGGTGGATATCATTGATGGGTCATGATAGAGTCGGGCAATAATTCATCCCTCGGGGGCTAACATAGTCAATGTTGCCCGAAAACACAATTAGTGATTGTTTTGCTATATGAAAATACAAAACAATTCAATAAAATATTATTTTGATTACATTTATCAAAATCAGCAACTTATTTGAATCCAGTGCATTTTTCTGCACGTTGATAGTAGTGCTAGTGAATCTTGAAGTTGTCATGATTGTGTTCCTGGCTTTTTTTTGTAACATCTTTTTTTATGTCGCGACGACATCATTATACGTCACAATAACTCAAACTACTCATTAGATCCAAATTAAGTTATATGGTGGGAAAACTCTTTGCCGATCAATAGTAAAATTAAATAACAGTCATTATTATTTCTCGTCGGAGTTAATATCATTTATCAGTTATGGAGACTATTTTTTTTTTATATAGAGTATAGAGATTATTCTTTACTGAATAGAATAAATATTATTGAATTGGAATAGCCACACCATATTTCATTAGCTTTGATTGAAAAAAAAATGAAGATAAATTCTAGTACTGACAGGCCTACTTGCCAAAATACTATAACTTGACCTGTACCAGGTGTCAGTATCTGTGCCTGTACCTATGTCAGGGTATTGATGCATTAATAAATTTTGCAAATAAACTCCCAAACGCCTGCATCAGAGCTCATACTATTCTAATATTACATTACGTCTTTAAATCTAGGATCATGACTACTTTTGCTTTCGATGAACAGCGTGAAACAGAGAGAGAGAGAGAGAGAGAGAGAGAGAGAGAGAGAGAGAGTACTGTACTGGTAACGGTTAGCGGATCTAAATTACTTGCAAATTTTGAATGAAACTGACAGCAAGCAATAGTATAATTATTTGATAAAACGTCATTTAATGAATTTTTCAACCAACACTTGATTAAAGTGATATAGAGGAAATAATGTGCAAATCGTTTTTGTCAGCCCTCGATTGTCTTGATGGGAATTTCTAGAAAGTCATATGACATCGAACCCGACGTCTGATAAAAAAACGATGTGATTATTTACAACATGCTAGATGAATTAAAAAAAAAGCTTTGATGTGAATGGGCATGGAAAGAATGATAACACTGTAAGTATTGAATATATTTATGTATCGATAGACTATTTGTAGGTTGGGCTAATAAATTTATCAGTAAAATGTGCAAATTCACCACTGAGAGCATCGTGATACAAATGTAACGAAGCCTGTATATACACATGCAACCGGTATTATTTAAAAATTTGCTCTCAGTGAATGATTATGGTATTGTTCAAATATATGAAGAATAGGGGGTGCATTCTGAGTTTTTATTAGATTTTAAAAAAATTTCTTTGATCAATGCATTTCAATGGGCTTATTTCAGATTACAGCATTTACCGTTTTTATTTAATAGGCTGATACATAAGGCGTGAAAAGCTTCTTTTTTTTCTTTTCTTTTTTTTTTTACAAAAGACCGTGCTTATAAATTTATCAGTAAAATGTGCATAGATGATTTTTTTTTATCCTTAATGGAAATGGAAAAAGAGCACCTAAAGTACAATAATATTACACAACAAGTATCGAAAATAAAGTTGCTAAGGCCATCTTTAAAAATTTGTTTGTTTGCCCTCTCCCGACCGATTGGCTAAAATTGGCCCCACTCAATCATTTTTAACCTGCAAGAAACGATCATTTTAATTTTTTTCCCAGAATCGTCTTATCTCGTCAACAAGTATGTTGAAATTTTTCCCACCTACCGACTCATTTTATTTATTTATTTATTTATTTTTAGATATTTATTACATACCTGTCCTGTATCCCTTAAGTACATACAAATCCTTATAAACACAGATACCTAGTGTGTTCTAGTAAATATTCTACCAAGCCTCTTTCTTTACTCCTCACAAAAAATGTTAAGTGAAAGAGAAACTTCAGGAGTACTGTACAGCAACATACTCCAGAAGTAGTGTTACTGAGTTGAGGACACTTAAAAATTCCAAGAACTTTTAGAAAAATTGAAATCACAAAATTTTTACCAAAATCAATGACATTAAAAAGTACTACTCTTCAATATCTAATACAATTATTTCCCACTTTATATTAAAGACCAGACTATTTGACATCATAGACAACTCTTTTTTCAATGAAAATGGAACTCGTAAATTTACATACGTACCTTGTCAATGGTTATCCATAAACTTATTTTGTTAAAAACATTCTGATTCTACACACAAGTACCCACAAAACACACAAGATTCTACACACAATGTCGATATTAAAAAGATACTTGAGTTTTTGATCGACAGTATTATGTGTTTTTTTGGAGACCAGGGTCCAAGATCATGAAATAGACTAGACTTAAGTCAAATTTTCAATACCCTATAAAATGTTTATTAATTATTGAATTATTCAGATAACAAGACTTTTGTGAAGCAATGTTGAAGAATATTCTAATTTTGGTCTGCTTGACTTCTACAAAATCTTACCGTTCACGGTAGCTCAATCGGTAGGCAATCGCTCAGTGATTGGGGGGTCGTGAGTTCGAATCTCGGCCGCGACTGACCTAAATCTATATAAAAAAAATGGGTAGGAACTGTTCCTTCGCCATGCGCTCGGCACTTTAAGGTGAAAGTTGCGGGTCCTTCGGATGAGACCTCAAAAACTGAGGTCCCGTGTCACGACAGGCGTTGGCACGATAAAGATCGCTCACTGCTCAATGGCCCTGAGTGCCGAGTAAAGGACAAAATTTAAGCTCTTCACCGGTATATGGCGACGATTCTGTATGAGTGAAAAATTCTCGAATGGAACGTAAAACAACATACAACACCAATCTACAACATCTTAATACAACATATCGATTTTCATTTAAGCTTAAGATGTTTCATGATCCCGGGGCCAGGTCTTCCAACAATTGTGTTGGAATTCCTATGGGTACTTATGGTGCAGATCTGTTTTTTTTTTTTTTTTGTCTTCATATGAAACAGAATTTATTTTAAAACTACGTGATAAGAAACATTTTCTTGCTGTGGACTTCAATTCGACATTAAGATATATTGACAACATTTTATCCATTAACAATATTCATTTTCATTACTGTGTTGATTCGGCATATCGCTTTGAACAGGAGATACGATATTACAGACACTGATTCAGCTGTTTCATATTTGAATATTTTATGAGTCGAAGACATTAGTGGCAAACTATCAAATAGACTTTATGATAAACGTGATGACTTTAACTTTTCTTTCGTCAACTTCCCTTATTTATGTAGCAATATGATCTGCATATGGAGTTTATGTATCCCAGTCGATTCGATGTACTACAACGTTTTACGTATGAGCAGTTTCTAAAAGGAGGCAAAATATTGACAAATAAGTTGAGTTCAAGGATATCAGCAGTCTCGTACCATTTAAAGTCAACATTTTGAAAATTGTATGGTCGATACAATGACCTTGTTAGCAAATACAACCTATCATAAATCGAACGTTGACTGACGTTTTGGATATAAATTGTTAGGTCATTGCTTTCACAATAAATTTAATACGGGTTTTTGTTTACCCGATCATGACAAGTACCTTACGGCGGGTATGACCAATCGACAGGGGAAGCTTACTCCTCCATGGCACCTGATCCCACCTCTGATGCGTTAAGTTGTCCCTGTTTGCTCTGCTCACAGCGTGTATTGTTTCAATGAACGTTTGCTCTTGATTTCTGTTTGTTATCTTTATATTTCATGTAGCATATAAACTAATTTTAGCTCTGAAACATTTGTATTGAAAACAAATGTAGATGAATTAAAAGAAGTAAGGGAAAACAGTCTCTTTTTACATTTGTGGAAATATGGTAAAATAATTTTTTTGGTTATATCCACAGATGCATTTTTGTCATCGGATATCTTGATGGTCAATTTCTCACCAGAATTCAAAGAACTGGAAAAAGAAAAGCTTTGTGAATTTGTCTTTGTTATTGATCGATCAGGTAAGAAAAGGGTGTATAATTATCACAAAAAATAAAATAAAGGAAACATATGGCATAATTGATAACTCAAACGTTGCTTGTAATTTTCTTTAATGTCCACTGATATTTAACATGATTAATTTGGTCGAAACAGTGTATGCGTTTTTCAATGTGTTTCTTTAATTAGAAGTGTTTTTAAGCATGATCCTAGATGAGAATGAGGATTTCAATTATCTACCTGACGTCATTTGTTTCTACAGGCTCAATGACTGGAGATCGTATAAAAAAAGCGAAAGAAGCTTTATTACTGCTCTTGAAATCTCTCCCTGTTGACTGTTTATTTAACGTCGTCAGTTTTGGGTCCGATTTTTCTTTTCTTTTTCCAAAGTAAGATCCTAAAATAAATTTCACAATTTCATTAGAAGAAAAGAAATGCAAAATAGAGGAATTACAAATCCAATCATTATTACATGTAAATTGTTATTTTTCGTTTTGTTTGATTTTTTTTTTAAATATGTGCATATGTTTCCAGGAGTGAGCAGTACAATGAGGAGAACCTTGAAGAAGCTATAAATCTGCAAAAGAAAATGGATGCAGATATGGGAGGGACAGAGATTTTTAAGCCTCTTGAATGTGTTTTTAAAACTAAACCTACAGATTCGTACGCAAGACAGGTAAGCCAGCAAATATTTGATGCTTTTCTACATTTATGCAAAACCCTAAAACGATTCAAATAATGACTTAAATTTTCTTTTGCCTATATTTTTGATAGTTATTAATAACATTTGACATAAAATTTATGTTTTCTTATATGAATGTAACAAGTGTGACACTTGAAATTAAAGAGATGCTTGATTATTATGAAATTCGAATAATCGTTCTTTCTTAAATACATTCTTAATCATACTATTTGTTAGGCTATTATTTACAAAGAAATATATGGAGATAACGAACAGTATTCAAGCTCCAAAGTCCATTATACAATACAAAATAGGAGCAGAGCAAACACGGACCTCCAAACATCAGAGGTGGGATCAGGTGCCATGGAGGAGTGAGCATCCCCTGCCGACCGGTCACACCCGCCGTGTACCTTGTCATGATCGGGAAATAACGGAAAAATCCGTCGACAATTCAGTGTGTAAATAATGGCCTAACAATTAGTATGAAAAACGTCAGTCAGCATTTGACTCAATGATAAATTGTATTTGCTGACAAGGTCATTGTATCGACCAAAGAACTTACGAAATGATGACTTTAAACGAGACAGCTGATATTCTTGTTTCATCAACTTATTTGTCAATAATTTACCTCGTTTTAGAAATTGTACATGTCATACGTAGAGCATGCTCTTGCGTATCGAATCAACTGAGAGATATATACCCCGTATGCAGGTGATGAAGGTATATTGCTGCATAAGTAAGGGAAGTTGACGATTGAAAAGTTAAAGTCATCACGTTTATCATAAAGCTTGGTTGTTAGATTACCATTAACGTCTTTTTCAAGTAAAATATCCAAATATGAAACAGATGTGTCAGACTCTGTGGTATCTTTTATCTCAAGTTCACCAGGATATATCGTATCGACATAAGAATGAAAATAGCCATTGTTGATTGACAATACGTCGTCGATATATCTAAATGTCGAGTTGTTGACGGATTTTTCTGTGATTTACCGATCATGACTAGGAGCACACGGCGGCAGGGGATGCTCACTCCTCCATTGCACCTGACCCCACCTCTGATGTTTTTGGAGGTCCGTGTTTGCTCTGGTCTCGATGTATATTGTTTTGATGGACTTTGAGCTTGAATACTGTTCATTATCTTCATATTTCATACATTCTTAATCTGTAAGGAACAGATTAAAGGAGCATTAAGGAATTTTGATTTGGATTTAAGTATATGTATATTCTAAAATATAAAATTGCCATTTAAATCTTAGCCTTGGTTCATGTAGATGCATAATCTCAAGTAAAACCAATGGTTGATATTATATTTTCACTCAAAAATATTAACTTGGAATAAAACTTTTTCCATAAAACTTTGTCCTTTAATTCATTTTTTTAGATATTTCTGCTGACCGACGGAGAAGTTAGAAATGTTTCAAAAATTGTCGACCTTGTGAGGGAACAGAAAAACACAAGGTGTGTTAAAACAATGTTCTAATAAAAATTTCTTTTAATAAACACAATTTTTAGGTATATGCTTTATCCATCTTGATGTTTACAGGGCAATTTGGTACCTTTGACTCAGCTTACCAAACCTTATTTGTGACACTAGATATGATCTTGAAAACTGTTAAGTAATAACAAGACCAAAGGAAATATAAATATGCAAATGGGAGACATTTTTCTTTATTTCAGGGTGCATGCACAAAGATCTAGACTAGCTCATTGTTATATACTTTTGTATAACTTTACAGGATATTTACCTTTGGTATTGGAGAAGGTTGTTCAACAGAACTTGTTAGAGGAGTTGCAAAAGCAAGCAGAGGAAAAGCAACATTTGTGAAAGATAATGAAAGACTGAAATCTAAAGTGAGTTGAGGCGCTATACATTGTTTAAAGTCATTATTCATAAAAACTTTGATTTGATGAGGGTTTGTACTTCTTGTACTTTTTTACATTATGATGAAAAATATATATATACTCATCCTTTAAATAGAAATCATTGATTCAATTTCTATCTAATATAATACATCAAAAACACGAACAAACACTTACATAAGATATAAATATAATTATTTCTCATTCTTTTCTTTTTATACTTAAATCAAAACCACTTACTTCAAAACACTTTTACATTTTTAAATCCATCCGAATGTTATATGTACATTTAAAATGTTAAACTCCATATGTATTATTTGGTCAGGTTATGGCTGCCCTGAAATGCAGTCTACAATGTGCAATTACCGATGTGTCACTAACTTGGAACCTTCCAAAAGATTGCTTAGTAATCAATTCCCCGAGAGAAGTTCCTGCCGTTTTCCATGGAGAGAAACTAATTTTGTATGCAATTATTTCAGGAGAGATACCAGAGGTAAATACAGAACTAAAGAATCATGAAGAGATATTAATTCACTCCTGATACAAGTATAACCCATTTTGATGTTGTCCCCGCTTTCACTGAAAGTGGGGGAAATTAATCTTGGTCTGTTTGTCCGTCCGTCCGTCTGTATTTCTGTCTGTCTGTAACACTTTCGTTTCCGCGCGATATCTCAAGAAGCTTTTGAGCTTTTGCAATGAAATTTTACATAACAACTTCTTGTGGCCTTAAAAAGAATCCTATTGATTTTGAGGTCAAAAGGTCAAGGTCATAATTTCATAAATTCCCTCTATTTTAACACTTTTGTTTCCGTGCGATATCTCGATAATCCTATGGGTTTTTGCAATGAAATTTTACATAACAACTCCCTGTGGCCTAAGGAAGACCCCTATTGATTTTGAGGTAAAAAGGTAAAAGGTCAAGGTCGTAAATTCATAAATTCTTTATGTGTGTACATGTTACACTTTCGTTTCCGGGCGATATCTCAACAAGCTCTTCAGTTTTTGCAATGAAATTTTATACCATAACTCCCTATGGCCTCTCTCGCCCCTCTGAAAGTGGGGAGCCCCGGTTTTTTATTTTATTGTTTTAAAAGTTGAATGGACTATTTTTAGCACAGGAGCATGTGGAGGGTTATAACATATAAAACAGTTTGTCAGCGGACTTTATATTCTTATTACTTCTATTAAAACTGTATAGTAAAGACTAAATTAGACACCATGTGTTGTGTAAAATGTTTACAATATCGAACATGAATATAATCATGTATATGCGACCTTATGTTTGCATTTAATTTGATTGAAAGGCAAGCGCCTCGTTGGTAGAGGGGTATGATTCTTGCTTAACATTTGAGAGGACCCGGGTTCAAATCCCGGACAATCCCGTATTTTTATTTATTAATTTTTTTCTGATTTTTTTTTTTAAATTTACTAAATAATAGTATTCAACATATGAAATGGAGAAGTCATGACGTCTGGCGTGTACAAACTTTCTCATTAAATCAATATGACAGTGTGAGAAACATTTTATATAAAAAAAATCTTCTGTACACATATTAAAGAATAAGCAATCAAATCTATATTTGCATTTTTTTTTTTCAGTATACATGTATACATTTAATAATTCTGTAAATCCGGGAGGGGGGGTTCCGACCCCCCCCCCCCTATCTGTGCATGTTCTTCTTTTTTCCTTAAGCAGGGGTGATACGAATTCTCTGAATTAGCTTGTTAATATCGACAGATTGTGACTGCATTTCGAGAATCTTCCAATTTGTTCTCTGAGAGAAGAACATGTGACTGCTTGATTTTATTCAGTCAATAATGAAATATCGTTCATTCTGAAAAAAAAAATATATTGACCAAGGGCCCGTTTTACAAAAGAACTTACGACTAAGATCAAAATTAAATCTGTTTTTTCACTTTCTTATTCACATTATATTGAAAGTTGCTTAATTCTTTTCAAAAAGAACGTAGTACAATATTTTAACACTGGCGATTTTGAACAGAATCGTTGATTTTGCAAAATTTTACAATCAACTAATTTTTTTTGTCTTAGTCGTAAGTTCTTTTGTAAAACGGGCCCAGTCTATCAACGAGCAGCCCTTAACATTCACAATCTGCGTTCTGTGATTTATTATAGGATTACTCCGGTGGAACTTCTTTGAAGATGGTTGGGAAAGCTGGTGAAAACTCTTTTACGTTTTTATTGTACTTTGATATGAATCTTCGCAGATCAAGTGACACTGACAATTCTTTCCCGCTTCACAGACTAGCTGCAAAGACCAAATTGTCAGAAATGGAAATGAACAGAAGTGATGGTAATGCTTCTATAAACCATAAAGAGTTTATGAAAAGGGTTCATCGATAAATAATTGACCTTCACATATACCATAGTATTAAGAATATACTTTTATAAGGGAGATATTTGATTAATTTGGTACTGAATAACAATATTAAAGTTTCAGTTTTAATAAGAAAGAAATTTTCAATGTCAATATTCGAATTGAACTGTATACATAAAGATAATTTATATGTCATTTCACTAAAAGGTTTATGAATAAAGTAATATATAATTTGTGAAATATAAAAAGGATTTTGAAAGATGAAGCGGTTAGATTTTCAAATCAAAAGAATATATTTTTAATTCGAAAAACTCAGTGTGACATACATCATATTTATGATATAAAACAGATAAAGAAAGACATATGGAAGAAAATCTCTCTGCGACAGAAGATAAAGTCAATAAAATGTTCATTTAAAAAATATTCATTTATGCAATTTCTTTTTATGCTAGATTACATGATGGTAGCATTGAGCACGATGGTTAATGTTACATGCAAATATACTGCGTTTATTGGCGTTGACAAAAAAGGGAAAGAAACTACATCAACAGATCAAGACGAAGACACCTCGTGTAAAACTGAGGCCTCTGATTCATTGGAAGATATTTTGTTTGGCCTGAGTGACCTTGATTTAACAATGGCAAAATCCAGCTCTAGACCAGGACTTGGGAGAAGATTTGCGAACTTTTGTTCAAGTATATATATATATATATATATATATATATATATATATATATATATATATATATATATATATATATATATATATATATATATATATTCTTTTTGAAGACTTGTACATTTTAGTTTTATCACATAAAGAAGTCTAATGTATTTCATTTTATTTTTTAAGGTCTTTTACCAGCGAGATTAAAGACAAGAAAACGAAGGAAATCCTCACGCTCCCGTAGAGATGAGAAAACTTTTCTCTGTCTTTCTTCTCGTCCATACAAAATGAAGAGTAGAAATGAGAGAAAACGCGGTTACTTCATATCATCTTGTCCATACGAAACAAAGAGCTACGGACTTTGTGGTCGGTTTGTATAAATCGCATACAGTGAAATGGCTTAATCTTCAAGAAAATTACGATGCAATTTGCTAAATTTATCAAATGATTGAGTTTGATCATTCTCATAGATATATTCATTTGCAATCTTTTTTATGTGTACACATATACGGAAATTTTAACTACTCAAAACATGCAGGAGTGTCTGACTTATTAATTTATCATTTTTAAGGTCATAGCATAAAAAATCAATTTCTGTTACCGGAGTACGTGTACCTATCTAGAAAAAGACACACAAGCACCTGCAGGGATGATTTGTAACTTTTGATTGTGCGAGACTGTCTTTAAATGCTTTGTTTAGCTAGTTTTAACTAGTCTGTCAGATGTACAAGACAAATTTCAGTAGGTCGCAATAGGGACCAAAATATGGTCGCCCGCATGGCGCAGTAGTAGAGCGTCTGCTCTAGAGTCGCGGAGTAAGGAGTTGATCCTTACGTCGCGGGTTCGAATCCCACTGTGGGACTTTGAGACCGGTGCTTCGGATGAGACCATATAAATCGAGGTCCCGTGTCGCCATAGGTGCTGGCACGAAAAAGATCCCTCACTGCTCAATGACCCTGAGTGCCGCGTATAGGTCAAAATTTGCAGCTCTCCACCGGCAAGTTTTGGCGTCTCCAAATGAGTGAAAAATTCTCGAGAGGGACGTTAAACAACAAACAAACAAACGAAATGATTTGCAAAGCAGAACAATAACAATTTAGTTTCTTAACATTTTAATTTTAATTAAACGCTGCATGTGGCCTGGCACCGAAAATTCTTTTATGTATCAACCAAAAAAGTAAGTAGGGGTGCCAACTTAAAATCGTGTATTCAGATGATTATTTAATTACAAAATTTTGAATAAGCAGGCGATATCGCGCTTCTAACGACAACGGTTGTCTTGCATGTAGTATTGCAATAAAATGAGTGAAGTGTCTGAACGATATAGATGTCCACATACGTAAACTAATAGTAACAAGATGTGTCTGTGAAACACTGATGTCCCCATATGGCAGCTTATGGCGAAGGTTACAGTTTCTTAAATGCAAGTCAAACTCCAGGTCAAGAAATCAAAAATGTTGGTACCCAAAGAATGGTCTTGTCTTGAAGAATATACCTGTGAAATATGAAAGCCCTAGTACAAAAGTAATGACGAAGGTTAAAGTTTTTTCAAAGTAAAACGGCAAGGTCAAGGTCAAATGGTGCCCAAGGGAAGTTCTTTTCACAAGTGATACACATGGTCGTGAAATGTGAAAGCCCTAGAACCAAACGTTGAAATGTTATGGCCAATGTTAAAAATTTTTTAAAGTAAGTCAAATTCCAAGGTCAAGGTCAATGCCAAAATTGTTGGTATCAAAAAAAGGACTTGTCACAAGAAATATACATGTGAAGTATGAAAGCCCTAACACCAACTGTTCAAAAGTTATGGCCAAGGTTAAAGTTTTTCAAAAGTAGGTCAAACTTCAAGGTCAAGATCAAAGGGTCAGGGTTGTTGGTACCTAAAGGAAGGTCTTCTCACAAGGAATGCATATGAGAAGTATGAAAACCCTAGCACTAACTGTTCAAAAGTTATGGTCAAGGTTAAAAATTTTTCAAAATTGAAGTAGGTCAAACTCAAAGGTCAAGGTCAAAAGGACAAAGTTGTTGGTATGCAAAGAAAGGTCTTTACAAGGAGTACACATGCGAAGTATGAAAGACCTAGCTCAAACTGTTCAAAAGTTATGGCCAAGGTTAAAGTTTTTTGCAACAGTAGGTCAAACTCCAAGGTCAAGGTCAAAGGGTCAAAGACGTTGGTATCCAAAGAAAGGCCTTTTCACAAGGAATACACTTGTGAAGTTTGAAAGCCCAAGCTCCAAGTGTTCAAAAGTTATGGCCAAGGTTATAGTCTCATAAAACTAAAGTGGGTCAAACTCCAAGGTCAAGGTCAAAAGGTCAAATATGATGGTACCCAAAGAAAGGTCTTGTCACAAGGAATACACATGTGAAATATGAAAGCCATAGCTTCAACCAATCAAAAGTTATGGGCAAGGTTAAAGTTTTTGCGGACAAACAGACAGACAGACAGATAGATAGACAAACAGACAGCTAGACAGCTAGACAGACAGACAGACAGACGGACGGACGGGGCAAAAACTATATGCCCCCGAATCTTCGATTACGGGGGCATAAAAATGCTAAGTGTCTACACAGAGTAATCAAGAAAGCTTCAGCAGATAAGTATTGAAACATTGAAACTAACAATTTGACGTTAACATTGAATGATTGAATAAAAAATATTTTTGACAAATCTGTTTGTTTAATTTGCTTTGGACTCAGAGGAATTGTTCTTCATTTTTTACTCTTATGAGAGATACGTGTAAAGAGAGGTAAATATCGTTTGTTATTCTTTGTTCTTCTTTGTTAAAATACTCAGGTCATTGGCTTCATACTAAGTTCATAATCATGTTTATATGCGTGTCTCCATTCTTTCAAAGCCGGTAATTACTGAGGAACGGCTAAAAATTTTAAAGACTGTGAGAGCCGTACGGTCTGCAAACCGTAAGGTTTTAGACATATAAGGCAAGCCATACCGTGTGTACCGGCCCTAACACCGTTCTTAAAAAGGTCACAACGTTATATTGCGACAAACCATTATTTTACGTATAAGGAGTCTGCTAAATATGCTATGATAAGACATTGGTCTACTCAACGGCTCAAACTGTATAAATAATGTAGCTACAAAAGATACACAATTACTTTCCATGTTGAAATTTAGCAGTCTTAATCTTCACAACTCCTTCAAATGTTGATCGATTTATCTTGGAGTCACTTCACCAAATAAATGATTAATACATTGTGCTTAATTTGACGTCATTGCATTATTGCTCAAGTTGTCTCTGAACTTTTTTTTAACCAAAATCAGGTTCTATAATAGAGAGGTCGTAAGCATTTTTTATCCAAATGGAATTTAAAAGGACAAGTGTTAGTATATAAAATAACTGGTTATCCTGATAACGACACAAAATAGTAAAGTTTGTATCATTTAAAAATGTAAACCAAATATATCCCCAAGATAAAAAAATTAAAATGTACATGTATTAAGGGAACATGTTTTAATGGAAATAGCTGTCTGATTTATAGGATAAGATTATAAACCTTCTCTACTTTTCAGATGACCTTTCTATACAACCCGCCTCTTTGGATAACCGATACGCTGCAATGGAAATGTGTTCCCTAAGCTTGTCAGGTGGTTTATTAGGTATAGTTTTATCTTGTTAAGCATGCTTATAAGCACAGTACAGAACACCGAACTATCTTTATCGAAAGCAAAGAGACGGGTCACTGGTCCAGAGCCCGTATATTGTAAAATTTGACAATTGTTTTAAAAACACATTTGTTCAATAGATCAGTAATCTTTCTTAATAACGTTTTTCCCCTATAATCGGAAAGACTCGGTGTATGAGAGCAAAGAAATCAATTTTGAGGCCCCAAAAACCAGCGCAAAAAAGAATTTCAAATCAAATCAAAGTCGCTTAAGTCAAACCTGCGTTTGTTTTCATTTTAGACGAAAGTGACGAAAAAGACTCTACAAGTAGTAGTAATAGAGGTATATTTTGTACTGACATAAAGTATAAACCAACTATCAATCAACGACGTCAATTTATACTATTAAGATAAATAATAATTCAATTCCGTAGTTTTATGTCTTCTTTTGGTTTGTTTGTTTGTTTTTTGCTTTCATTTTGTAGTATCAAGTATCAAATAAAAGCTATCTTTACAACATAGAACAAAGTCAAAGATTTATTTCTCCAGTTATTCAAACATAACATAAACATACAATCTCATTTCAGATGATGCTCCTTCAAGAATGATACAATTAATTGAGAGGCAAAAATTCAATGGATCCTGGTCACTAGATGAAAATGTATCACAAATCCTTAACAAATCACTGGAACAAATAAAAGGATCGAATGTGATCAAAGTATATATATATATATATATATATATAGAGAGAGAGAGAGAGAGAGAGAGAGAGAGAGAAGAGAGCTAAAATAAATCAAGGCATATAATAAAGATAATGCAAATAAAGAACTTTATGCATATTTCAGGTCAAATTTTGCAACATTTTTTGAAATGTGCTGAATTGTATAAAAAATCTCAATTGACAAAAAATTATAGCTTGGAAAAAGGTTATTGGTAAAATTTGTTTCTGTAACGTCCCTGTGCAATTTGGATTTTCGGTTATTTGTAAGAAAGAGGACAAAATTCGTTCATTTTTCACTATATAATTTTCACAGTGCAAACCATAACAACATTCACATATTTCATTGATATTATCATTATACATATTATATTAAACGATAGAATTGGAGCAGATCTGTGTTCGGTGTCTTTTAAACAAAATATAGACCTCATGACTGATGAATATTTTCAATGTTCTGAAGTCTGTAAATATCCACCAGGTTTAGTACATAATTATTGATTTTCCGTCAAATTTTGATTTTGGGAAAATATTGGTCATTACAGGTAGTTCTTTGTAATTTGAGTTAACATTTTTGTTTTGAAAATAGTACATGCATTTGCAAACAAAATAATGTATAAGACTAAGAAAACAAAAAATAGAATAAAACATTAATATGAATGACATTTTCAAACTTGTATACATTATATTTGATATACGATAGTTTTTAATTGATCTAGCAAATTCTTTTTTTATTTGTTTTACAGGATTCAGATGTTTGGGCCACAGCTCTTGCAATTGCGTTTTTAAGAAAAGAGTTTTCAGTTCAAAAGAACGAGTGGGAAATGATAGAAGAGAAAGCGATGAAATGGTTAAAAACTAAAGATCTGGAGGGCAAAGATATCATAGAGGAAGCTATGACATTCTTGTCTGCATAACATGCATTCATATTGGCCCTGTCATTGATACAAAAAATCTTAAGGCTGACCTGAAATCGAAATCCTTTATTTATTCCCCTTGTGTGGGCGTTGCGATAATTAATTTTTTTTCGATTCAGATCTACTAGTATTTCCAAGGTACGTGTCAGTAATACCTAGTGCAAACCTGGCATAGAAGATGAAACCTGAGATATACACTCCAGAAACGACACAAATCCAGACGCATTTTGCTCACCTAATAAACACACTCAAGTGAATTTTAACATTTGTCAATTATTCCGGATAACTTTCCACATTTTCATTTTTTTTTACAGAACAAATAGGCAAATTTCATCAAAATTTGGAAAATTGCATCTGTACAGATCAGGTTAAATCAATGTTATACATGTATAAAAGCAAAAAGCTCTGTATTTAAAATTTGTTGAAATAATAGCCTAGAGGGCTAATGTGTTGCAGCAAAGAGGACAAAGGATCATATTAGGAACAATATTTGATTACGTTTTCTCAAGAGGAGCACTAGCAGGACGAATCTGTTTTTTTCAACTGGAAAAAAAACTATATACAATGTTGCCGAATGTAAAAGGTAAAAATAACGAACGGTGATCGATCTCAAAAAATCCATAAACAATAAAAATATGTGAGGACATAAAACACGGAACCTTGGAAATTCCAGAGGTGGGATTAGCTGCCAAGGAGGAGTAAGCATTCCTTGTTGAAAGAAGGGATTAGCTAGATAGCGATATAGAGACCAATAAACATTTACGCATGGAATCAATTTGTAAATCAACATACATGCATCCATTTATGCTGTAGAAAAGAACTATAAAACGTGTGTGTGCAAATTTAAGGGTGACAATAAGAAACTTCACACATTTGGTAATTAGAAAACCATGGGCCCTTTGAAAAAAAAAATCCAAAGAATTTTTAGAGAATTTGAAATTACTGCCAAAGTCAATAGCATCAAAATGTTTCACTTTTCAACCCTTTATAACAGCGATTCCTAACGTTAAAGTTATATGTTGAGTTTTTCTATATCACAGTACAACTGCGGACTTCTTCATTTAAAGTGGAATTTATATATTTTCATATCTTTCATTAATCATCCAAAAACTTACTTTGAACAAAGTCATTCTGATTCTACAAACAAATACTCTGAGAGCGATATTACAAAGATGTATGAGTTCTTTGTTGACAATATGTATGTCATCTCTGGAGACCATTTCTTTCAACAATAAATTAAAATTCCCTTGGAAACTTCCTGTGCCCTTTAATCAACAGACTAGTTAATTAATCATCTATGAGACAGTGTTAATATAAATTTTTTTTACAAAAAACTTCTACATGAAAAGAAATCTTTTGCAATGGCCTTCAATTCAACATACCGTTATTTCGACTACGTTTTAACAATAATATTCATTCTATTCTTACACTGATTTGATATACATGTACCCCACTGAACTCGAATAAAAGACTTTACAGAGTCTGAAACATCTATTTCATATTAGGAAATTTTTCTAGTAGGACACATCACTTGCAAACTAACAACTAAACTGAGTTCACTCAAGTGACCTATTGTGATCTTTTTCTTTTTTTTTTTTTGTCAATCGCCATGCTGCGTCGGTCGTAAATTTTTTAACATTTTTATTCCTTTTTCTGAACCGCTGAATATAAAAGGTTAAGATAACGAACAGTGATCGAGCTTAAAAAATCCACAAACGATACAAATACGTGTGTGAAGAGGACATAAAAAACGGACCCCCTAAAAATTCCAGAGGTGGGATCAGGTACCTAAGAGGAGTAAGCATCCCCTGAACCAATATCAACCAAGCTTGCCTTATAGAATCGATGTGTGAAGGAAAACAAAAAATGCGAATTTCATGGTCCTCACCATGACGGGACCTGATTGATAGAGCTAAAACCAACAAAATTTTTGCAATCTTTATTTCAGTTAGATCTAAACTGTTCTATTATAACTTTAATTAAACGCAATAATTTATTTACGAACGGATGGGTTTTCGTGTTGAACTCTGTTTCAAATGTATTTGAAACATTCAAAAAGTACAAATATAGACATAATTTTCGCCCCTTTTTTAACGCTTTATTTGATGATTTTCCTCAGATACCCCTTACTTAGGCACTCCCGATAACTAAGACTACAAACATAGTGTCCCTTGGTCACACTCTAAAATGAATGTCTGTGAAATGTTTTGTCAAATGAACATTTAAAGCATAAAATGTCCCCATTAATGACTGAAATATGGTCATTCAGTGTTTCAATTTATTAGTCTTGAAAACCATGTATTTTGACTTCACTTTATAGATATCCAAAGGACAATGTTCGACAAGTTGCGGCTCATATCAATTTTTTTTTTTTGAAATAGTCTCCAAACTACGGTCGAGATAGCTACTTAATTAACAGATCCCCGAGTTTCAACCCATATTGACCCGATTGATATTATAATCACTTTACTCACGTGACATTCCGCTGTTCGATACGCTTTCATTGTGTCTGTCATTGGAAGTTCCTTGTGTCTATCGACTTCCAACTTCAAAATATTGAAGATTTTTGCGAAAATTTTATTAAGGTTTTAAAGATTATATGTTCTTCTTTTCATGTACTATTTTTTCGTTAGGGGTATTTTGAAAGAAATTCTGGTATTCTCAGTGCAAATCAGGTGCACGATTAGTAGGTATATTGCTGTGCTCATGTCGCCTCTGTATTATGGTCTGCAGACACAACCCATCCCTAAACACTAGAATCATTTATTATTTGTGCACCACGAAACTACACAATCTCTCTCTTCTCCATTTAAATTCGTAATGCATAATCTGAATACGGAAAAATCGTGTGCTAATATTTACATTCCATTTCCATGCGATTTAAATGTCTCCGCCTATTTGCGGATACCTTAAATTCGAAAGTGGCCAAGTTCAAATTTCCGGAATTTAAGGCTTATACATGTTCTTTCAATGACTTTGTCTGTAATTATAGATATATGTATGGCAAAAGTTTCAAGGCATAAATATCAAAAGCATATGCATGCAGGGTTTGTATAAACTTGAATCAGACTACATGTACATATCTTTGTACATGTAGTCTGATTCAAGTTTATACAAACCCTGCCTCCAGGACGACGATGGGACCAAAGTGGGAGCAGTAAGAAATCTTTTTATCATTTGTTAGAAATGTCACATGGAACTCCTTTCCCTCAGGAACGTAATTTCTACACCCAGATGCCTTAGAAAACACACATCTTTCTTCAGAGTATGCAAAAATGAATTAAAATACCGGTATATTTGATAATTTGAAAACAACTCACTAAACCCTCACCTGATTTTTTAGACAGGTAAACATACCCCCAAGGCCCTTGAAAACTGTTGCCATGGTTAGTAAAAAAGATATTTTTGTAAAATTCATTCTAACCCCTACTCCTCCTAGAGTTTTGGTTTGATTTAAATGATTTTGTGCACAATCAACCTTTAATAATGTATATAATTAAGTGTTGTGAATATGCAAATTCTGAAAACTTATTGCACATCCGTAGGACATGTACACCACCAATCATCCTCCAAAATATGATTAGACTACTGCTTAAAATGTAAGGGGAGTTCAGGGAACTGGGGTTTTTTTGGAAAAAAAAATAACGTCATTTTTCGACCCCCATTTGACCCCCAGGGTGAAAAGGAAAATTCCGAAACCTTATTGTACATATATAGAAAACCACAAATTATCATCAAAAAGATGATTAGGCTACAGTAACTGCTAAAATGTTAGAGAAGTTCTGGGAACCAGGACATTTTTGTATATAAAAAACAACGTCATTTTTCAACCCCCATTTGACCCGCTGTGTGAAAATGAAAATTCTGAAACCTTATTGTACATCTAAAGGACTACATCAATTATCTTCCAAAAGATTATTAGACTACAGCTTAAAACGAAAGAGAATTTTTTGGTACCAGGGTGTTTTTGTATTAAAAAAAGTCATTTTTCGACCCCCCCCCCCTCTTTGACCCCCAAGGTTAAAATGAAAATTCCTAAACCTTTTTGGACCTCCATCCACAGGAAACCGTTAATTATCTTTCAAAAAATGATTAGGCTACTGCTTAAAATGTAAGGGGAGTTCTGGGAACCAAGGCTTTTTTTGTATAAAAGATGTCATTTTTTGACCCCCATTTGGCCCCCAGGGTGAAATTGAAAATTCCGAAACCTTATTGCACACCCACAGGACACCACCAATTATCTTCCAAAAGATGATTAGGCTACTGTATAAAAAGTAAAGGTCTTCTTGTATACAATAATGTCATTTTCGACCCCCATTTGACCCCAAGGGTGAAAATGAAAATTCCAAAACCTTATTGCACGTCCACAGGACACCATCAATCATCTTTCAAAGTGACAGACGGATGGAAGGAGGAACCAAGGTAACAGCAATATACCCAAACTTCCTTTAGAAAGTGCGGGTATAATAAAAACAATAAAATGTCCCGAGGAAAGGACGGGGCATCCCGAAATTGCAACAATTTTTATTGTTCGTGTCGTTGGTAATTTTTAGTGGGTATCCTTATTAAAGTGAATTTCTTTGTGCTTTCGTATTTATATTTCTTCACTTAGGGCAGTTATGTTAGTTTAATTAAATGTGCTATATATAAATAAATGAATTATATATATATATATATATATATATATATATATATATATATATATATATATATATATATATATATATATATATATATATATATATATAAAAAGTTTAAAAATAATTATCTATAATTGAATCTGTCAGCTAGCTATAAAATGCTTGCAGTGTACATGTGTTCACACCTCTGAAAACAAATCCAACGGATGTTTGTACAGTGTATTACTAATTGGAGATCATTGGAAAGTTATACTCTGTGTGAAAGTTTTGTCAGAAATCAAATTAAATCAAACTGTTTAGGCTGGGAATAAATTTTAGAATGAAATGTTTTCTTTTTCTCTTCTTTCAATTATATTGTCTCTAAAAAGTTTATAAAAAGGAAATACTTTAAATTGTCCGTGTCCGCATATATCTATATGTTCGCTGAGTTTCATCTTGCGGTACTCGGGGGCATGAATATGTTGTTTATGCACCCGGATTCTGGCTCTCAATGTGGTCCCCGTTTCACCGATGTAGCATTGGTTGCATCCTCCGCAAGTAATAACATATATCAAATTTTTGGACTCAAATGTCATGTCCGAATTAATAAAAAAAACCTCTGAAATTAAATGACGTTCCTTGTCTTAAAAATGGACATGTGCCACATCGCGGGTTTTAACACTTCGTCACGGATTTTGT